TGCTGAGTAAATTTAATTTAAAAGCTTAAAAAAAATAAAAGAAATAAAAAAGAAATTAGTGCTTAAAAAAAAATCCTCAACACTGAGCACTTGAAATGATGCAGGCACAGGAAGTGCTCAGTAAATGAATATTTTAAAGTATTTGCCCAAAGGCGCATAACTAGTTATCAGCACAGGTGGAACTAATTCACCCCAAATCTCCTCAGTCTTCTTCCAGGTTAGGCTCATTTAATTGGTGTCCCTTCAGTTGGAAGACTGGTCCCAAACAGAAAACCAAAACCCACGGAATGGGCAGCAGAAAGGGAAGTGACCTGCTGAAATAGCTACCTGAGGACTCCTACACTGAAAGGAAACTTGCCAGAGAGAACGATTTTATATCTCCTTTCTGCAATCTTTCCTTGGCATCCTCATTAACAAACCTTTCCTTCATCCCAGAATCCTTCACAGTTGACGGCAAATAGGCCTGCTGTCACTCTAACAGAATTTCTCCAGAACCCAAGAGCCAAATTCTTTCTGTGACATCATCTGCTTTTTATCTGTGGTGTCCACTGTTTCAATCCTGTCTAAGATCCCTGACCCTGGACTAACATTCAAGGGTATGGATACAGCCTTATACCAATGTCACAATTAGCAGAAGTCTGCAGTACCTTACCTTTCTACATACTGTAACCTACAAATAATTAGGTTGAGCAATTCTGAATGCATCCAATTTGAAGACACCAGGTTTATAGGTAAATCACTCCAGAATCACTCTAACAAAGCATGCATGAACCTTGACTAGCTCCAAGGCAGATATCTGGGAATGTGTCCATGGGGATTTCTCAAGATAATACAATAAACTATAACCAGAACAATTTTTAAATTGCTTCTATCCCATTAAATTACTTAATATGTAATAATTTTAACTAAATCTACTCAGCAACCACATTCTACCAATATGAACAGTCAAAAAAGTTGCAACCCTCACTTTGGCTTGTAGTTTCAAGCTGTAATTCTGTAAAAATACATACAGTATTCAAGATCTCTGTGACTTATGAGGGCAAGTTATGGGTAGAAAAGAAAGAAGAAAAAGCTTACAAGTTAGGAGGAATTATCTGTTTGTCGCTGAGAAGTCAATGAATATTTTGTTACCCAAATATTGTCTGAATCAAATAAGAAAATGTAATGTTACAGGTTCTCTGTTTTTAGGTAATATTCTTTTTTAATTTTACTTACTAATTGATTTATTTTTGTTTTTAAATATATTTTTATTGATTTCAGAGAGGAAGGGAGAGGGAGAGAGAGATAGAAACATCAAGGATGAGAGAGAATTATTGATCGGCTGCCTTTTGTATGCCCTCTACTGGGGATTGAGTCTACAATCCCGGGCATGTGCCCTAGACCAGAACCAAACCCGGGACCCTTCAGTCTACAGGCCGATGCTCCATCTGCTGAGTCAAACCAGCTAGGGCTTATTTATTGATTTATAAATTGAATTTATGGGTGAGGTGGTTAATAAAATTATATAGGTTTCAAGTGTACAATTTTATGACATATAATCTGTAGAGTGCATTTTAAGCCCACCACCCAAAGTCAAATCTCATTCCATCATATGTTTGAACTCCTTTACTTTTTACTATCTCCCCACCCTTCTTCCTTCTGTTAACCACTGTAGTGCTATGTCTATCAGTTTTTATTTGTTTTTCTTGTTTGTTCATTTGTTGCTTTCAGTTTTATATCCCACATTTGAGTCAAATCATACAGTTCTTAGCTTTTTCTGTCTGACTTATTTGCTTAGCATGATATTCTCAAAATCTATATTGTCACAAGTGGCAATATTTCATCTTTTCTTATGTCTGAGTAGTAGTCCATTGTATATATGTACCACATCTTCTTTATTGAATCATTTATTGAAGGACATTTCGGTTGTTTCAAGGTATTGGCCAACATGAATAATGCTATAATGAACATAGGGGTACATATATCTTTGCAAATACATGTTTTCAAGTTTTTTGGTTATGTACCTAGGAGAGATTGCTGGGTCATATGGAAACTCTTCTAAATTTTTGAGAAACCTCCATACTGTTTTCCATGGGGGCTATACCAATCTACATTCCACCAGCAGTGAATGAGGGTTTCTTTTCCTCCATAACCTATCCAACACTTGTCATTACTTATCTTGTTGATAATAGCCATTCTAACAGGTGTAATGTGGTATCTCCTAGTTTTTATTTGCATTTATTTAATAGCTAGTGAAGTTGAGAATTTTTTCATGTATCTGTTGACCATCTATATGTCTTCTTGAGAGAAGTGTCTATTCAGATTCCCATTTTTTAAATTGGTTTGCTTGTTTGGTACTGAGTTGTAGGAGTTCCTTATATATTTTGGATATTAACCCTCTGTCAGAACTGTTCTTTGCAAATATCTTCTCCCATGCTGTTGGTTGCCTTTTCGTTTTGTTGGTGGTTTCTTGGCTGTGTAGAAGCTGTTTAATTTGAAATAGTCTCGTTCATTTATTTTTGTCTTTACTTCCCTTGCCTTTAAGGTCAAATGCATAATAATCTCTCTTACACCAAAGTCCATAAGTTCAGTACTTGTTTTCTTCTATGTAATTTGTTTCAGGTCATATTTTTAGGTCTTTAACCCATTTTAAGTTAATTTTTGTCTATAGGGACAAACAGTGATCAGGTTTTAATCTTTTGCATGTGGTTTTCTAATTTCTCAGCAGCATTTATTGAAGAGGATTTCTTTTCTCCATCGTATGCTTTTTGGCTCCTTTGTCGAAAATTATTTGTCCAAAACACAGTTTTATTTCTGGGCTCTTAATTCTGTTCCATTGTACCAATCTTTTTAAATTCCTAATTGCAAATGGAGAATTTCTTCAACTTCACTTGTGATATAACTATAGTTTTAGGGTAAATCACCAATTGTGTGCCACATATTTATTCAAAACATCAACCCTCTTAACTACTGAAAGAAATATAACTAAGTGAGGGTGTCAATTTACCCTCCCCAACTCAGTATCATATTCCTAATGAAAATATTTCCTTATTATCAATAACTTATTCCTCATCAATTCTGTGAGAGATTAAAACATGCTCTTTTGAGTGTACAGGAAGATTTGCCAATTGACTTTCAACTGGTGATTTATGCTTTTCCACTAGAATATTCCTTCCTTCTTTTAACATATCTTGTTAAAGAAGTTCAAATGAATTTTTTCTAGTAGCAATGAACGTAATGTAACTCTAGTCACCAGTAAAATGCAATTGGATTATCCATCAGGATGAACATATATGTACACACACACACACACACACAATGCAAACTTAAAATCATCTCAGATCTTAAACGTTTTTTCAAAAATAGTTTAAGTGAAATATTGGCAAAAAGTCATTTATTCCTTGCAATTCTTCTTAGGAATTATGAGTCGCCTATTAGTGCCAGAGACATAATGCAGAAATTATTATAGAAATTTCTTTGCATTTTTCTAAATCCCATTTGCCCAACTTATAAAAAAATTGTAATTACCAACCTTCACTAATGATAAATGAGAAAGTGCATTTCCATTGCATTTTGTATTATTATACCATAAGCCAAAAAAACTTTGATAAATTTAAAAATATCACAAGGGATTAGGTCGTAACTCATTAGTGCTTTATAGCATAAGCATGAATAATTTACCACCGGATTTGGTATGATAGTTTTGATTCACACATGAGAAATCTTATTAGTCCATGACAAAATAAAATTATTTTAAAAGGTATGTGTATAAGAATTTTCACAAATATTTGCTTTAATAATTATTTTTCTTCAAATAAGATCAGAAACCCACCACTAATTTCTCACCAAACTAAAAATTATGGAGAAAACAAGGGAAGGAAGGAAGGAAGGAAGGAAGGAAGGAAGGAAGGGAGGGAGGGAGGGAGGGAGGGAGGGAGGGAGGGAGGGAGGGAGGAAGGAAGGAAAAAAGGAAGGAAGGAAGAGAGAGGAGGAAGGTGGGATGGAGGGAAGGAAAGGAAGAAGGAGGAGAAAAGGGAGAAAAGAAAGAAGAAAGAAAGAGAGAGGGAGGGAGGCAGTCAAATCTTTCTCAATTTCAATAAACTATCACTGAGTAAAATGTACTTTCTTCACGTACTCAAAACCAGTATCTTATGATAGAATCTGTAATTATCCCTGGAACATTAGAAAAGATAGAAGAAATTACAAGAAATGGAATTTCTGTTGATCCCAATGACAATAAGCTTCTCAACTTACCCCCAAATCCTGAGTGAACTGTTTTTTTTCTCCCTAAGAAACCATCTTATGATATTATTAGCAAAGTCTTTAAAAGCCTCAAATTGGCTGAGGCTGGGGTTTAGCTTGTGAAAAAGAAAAGTAGCAAACAAGAGTTGGGTTGGCTATAGGGACTTGCCAAATGAGTCTACAGCAGACTAAAGAGGGGAATATAAATGCAAACAGTTAACAAACTACAAAGCAACATACAAACATTATTATTATTAATGGTAACTATTAATAATAATAATTAATATTTTAATGCTTATCATTGTAATCCACATACCTAAAATGTAATCCACATACCTAAAATTAGTTGTCTTATATCTCTCCTTTACTTAAGAGTCTTGGAAAAGGAAAGTCATCAGCTCCAAATTCTACCCTATGGGACCAGACTGAGGCTCATTGAAGGCTCAGGTTTTCTGCTCTTGGAATAGGAGATCAAGCAAACTAAGTTTGTGGGGGGGTTTTGTTGTTGTTGTTGTTTTTTTTTTTTTCAGTTTTGGAATTATACACTTACTTTAAAATCTCAAAGAAATTACATTCTCCTTTTATTCAGAATTGATCATATGACTTAAGACATTTTAATTTCATTGTAATAGAGAAATTTAAACTAAAATTTTATGACTTATTTAATATTTCTTTAGAAAGACAGATTAAAAGGATGTACAAAGTTGTACATCTATTCAGTAGGTTCAAACACATAAAATCTTTTCTAAAACACAGTATTTAGATAAGTTTGGTGTTACCTCTGGTACTCCTAATTTTCGGCATGCTTCCAAAAAGTTTTCCACATTTCTTCTGCATTTGGCCATGCTAAGCTTGGGCTATAAATACAAATAAGCAGAAATAATGAGTTATTAAAAAAGAAATAATTATATAATAATAACTTAAAATTTAAACTTTCTAAATGGCACAAGTAATATGTGTTTATTGAAGAAAAATTATGTATGCAATTAGAAGACAATAAAAATTTACCTATCCAGAATGTTCACATAGAGAAAAGAACTAGTAGTAGTTTTTATTATATTTTTCCAGATATTATATGCATACATGTTAGTGTATACAAAGACATATATATATATGTGTGTGTATATATAGATATGTATCTTATATGCAGAATTTCTGCACATCTATACTAATAAGAGAGAAATATGGTAATTGACTGTCGCTCCGAAACACCCAGAGCCAATCAGGACAAAATATGCAAACTGGCAGGACAAAGATGGTGGTGACCACAGACCCAGCCAGAGCAGGCAGGAGGCTTAGATTGTCCCTGGCAATGAAGGAAGCCAAGCTTCCCATCCACCTGGGCTGGCCGCCAAACGAGGGCCTTTGTGTGGCAGCCATGGAGCAGGCCAGAGTGAGTGGGAGGCTTGGGTTGTCCTTAGTGATGGAGGAAGCTTGGATTCCTCTGTCGCTGAGGGTGACTCAAGCTTCGCACCCACCCTGGCTGGCCACTGAAGGAGGAGCCTGTAGGTGGTGGCCACAGAGCCAGCCTGAGCATTCGGGAGGCTTGGGTCGCCCAGAGCTGGCTACCGAGGGAGGGACCTGCAAATAGCTCTCAGTCCCTCACCCAAGCTGGCCACGCCGCTATCGGGGTGAGGATCTCCACTGGGAGGTGTGGCCAGCCTGCTAACAGCCATAAGCCCTTCACCCAGGCTGCCCAAGCACTCCAGGGGGGACCCCCACCCTGAAGGGGGCGTGGTCAGCATGAAATCAGCTACCAGCCCCTCACCCAGGCTGGCCGCGACCTCCCTAGTGGGGACGCCCACCCAAATGGGAGCATGGCCGGCCTGCAAACCACCACAGGCCCCTTGCCCAAGCTGTCCTGCCCACCAAGGGAACCCCCACCCTGACCCGGGACATCCTTCAGGGCAAACCAGCCAGCCCCTACCTATACTAATAAAAAGGTAATATGCTAATTAGACTGGGAGACCTTCCAGGAGACCTTCCGGACATTCTTCTTGACAAAGCCATAGTGGTGGGTTGAGGTAGAGGCAGTTAGGGGCCAAGAGGGGAGGGCAGTTGAGGGTGATCAGGCCAGGATGAGATGGCAGTTGTGGGTGATCAGGCCAGTGGGGGAGGTTATTGAAGGGGGGGGGACAGTTGGGGGTGAGCAAGCTGGCAGAGAGGGCCAGTTGTGGGTAAGCAAGCTGGCAGAGGGGATTAGTTGGGGGCGATCAGGCTGGTGGGGTTGGCAGGTGGGGGCAAGTAGGCTGGCAGGGGAGGAGTTGGGGGCGAGCAGGCTGGCTGGGGGCAAGTTGTGGGTGATCAGGCTAGTGGGGGGGGCAGTTGGGGGTGAGCAGGCCAGTGGGGAGGGGCAGTTGGGGGCAATTAGGTGGGCAGGCAGGTGAGTGGTTAGGAGCCACCAGTCCCAGATTGCGAGAGGGATGTCCCAGATTGGAGAGGTTGCACACTGGGCTAGGGGGAGACCTGCTTCCACGTTCCCTCCCCCCCCCCATGCATGTATTTTGTGCACCGGGCCATATGTATATATTTATACAAATACATACATGTATGCATATATGCAAATTTTTCTGCATATATACATATGTGCTTATATACATGTATTCACATACACATACTTATATACAACTTTTATGGGGCCAAACTCTTGTGTGATGCAATTTAGTTCACCTAAAAATATACCTTTTCCTATCAGCAATTATATTTGTATATGAAGGGTTAAATTCAGCAGGCCAATTAAACTCCTTCCCATTAAAGCAATGAATTTAATTAGAAAGAGGCAACATCAAGATAAACAGCACTGAATAAGAGCCTCTCCAGGAGTGCTGACCCTGGAGAGGTGACTTTGGGTGTGTGGCATGGATAACAGGCACATCTTTTTTTTTTTTTCTTCTTTTTAAATTATAGGCTCATTTACTTATTTATTTAAATATATTTTATTGATTTTTTTGCTCCCCTCCCTCCCATACATACCCTTCCTCCCCAGAGTTTTATGTCCGTTGGTTGTACTTATATGCATGTATACAAGTCCTTTGGTTGATCTATTATCTCCCCCAATTCTCCCTCCCCTCCCCACTGTAATTTGACAGTCTCTTGTTGCTTTACTGTCTCTATATCTATCTATCTTTTGGTTCATCAGTTTATAATGTTCTTTATTATCCATAAATGAGTGGGGTCATGTGGTGTTTCTCTTTCATTGATTGGTTTATTTCACTCAGCATGATGTTTTCCAATTCCATCCAGGTTGCTGCAAATGTTGAGAATTTCTTCTTTTTTATGGCAGCATAGTATTCCATTGTGTAGATGTACCAAAGTTTTTTGATCCAATCATCTGCTGACGGGCATCTAGGCTGTTTCCAGATTCTGGCTATTGTAGATTGTGCTGCTATGAACATAGGGGTGCATATATCCTTTCTGATTGTTGTTTCTAGTTTCTTGGAATATATTCCTAGGAGTGGGATTACTGGGTCAAATGGGAGTTCCATTTTCAGTTTTTTGAGGAAACTCCACACTGTTCTCCACAGTGGTTGCACCAGTCTGCATTCCCACCAGCAATGCAAGAGGGTTCCCTTTTCTCTGCAACCTCGCCAACACTTGTTGTTTGTTGATTTGTTGATGTTGGCCGTTCTGACAGGTGTGAGATGGTACTGCATTGTTGTTTTGATTTGCATCTCTCAGATAATTAGTGACTTTGAGCATGTTTTCATGTGTCTTTTGGCCTTCCGTCTGTCTTCTTTTGAAAATATTCTATTTAGGTCCATTGCCCATTTTTTAATTGGATCATTCATCTTCCTTTTATTAAGTTGTATAAGCTGTCTGTAAATGTTGGAGATTAAACCTTTATCAGTGGTAACATTTGCAAATATGTTCTCCCACACAGTGGGCTTTCTTGTTGTTTTGTTGATGGTTTCTTTTGCTGTAAAAAAGCTTTTTATTTTGATGTAGTCCCATTTGTTTATTTTCTCTTTAGCTTCCATTGCCCTAGGGGCAGTATCAGTGAAGAAGTTCTTTTGGCATATGTCTGAGATTTTGCTGCCTGTGGATGCTTCTAGTATTTTTATGGTTTCCCATCTGATGTTTAAGTCCTGTATCCATTTTGAGTTTATTTTTGTGTATGGTGTAAGTTGGTGATCTAGTTTCATTCCTTTGCATGTATCTGTCCAATTTTCCCAACACCATTTATTGAAGAGACTGTCTTGACTCCATTGTATGTTCATGCCTCCTTTGTCAAATATTGAGCATAGTGATTTGGATTGATATCTGGGTTCTCAATTCGATTCCATTGACCTATATGTCTGTTCTTATGCCAGTACCAGGCTGTTTTAAGAACAGTGGCTTTGTAATACAGTTTGAAATCTGGTATTGAGATTCCCTCCTACTTTACTCTACAGGATTGCTGTGGCTATTTGGGGTCTTTTATTGTTCCAAATGAACTTTTGAAGAGTTTTTTCTAGGTCAGTGAAATATGCCGTTGGTATTTTAATGGGGAGTGCATTGAACCTATAGATTGCTTTAGAAAGTATGGACATTTTGATGATGTTGATTCTACCAATCCATGAACATGGTATGTTCTTCCATCTCTTTACATCTTCCTCTATCTCTTTTTTCAGAGTCGTGTAGTGTTCCGCATATAAGTCCTTTACTTCCTTAGTTAAATTTATTCCTAGGTATCTTAATTTTTTTGGTGCGATGGTAAATGGAATTGCTTTTTTAGTCTCTGTTTCTGTAATTTCACTGTTGGTGTATAGAAATGCCATGGATTTCTTCGCATTAATTTTGTATCCGATAACAGGCACATGTTTATTCACATATTTTTATTTTTTACATGCTATGTTTTAAAACTTTACTGCTAAACTTAACATTCCACTACCAGTTCTTTTAAAAAGGGAGGCAAGAAGCATGAATAACTCCAACTTTCTACATGTAGAACAATGTTTTATAAAGATTGGCCTTACCCTACTAACAGCAACTGAGAATGAAGCAATTCATTCCATCACTTCAAGGCCTGCACCAATCTTCATAAAACTAAATTTGCACAGTATTTATAAATAAAAGGGACTTCCTCTATCCCACTCCTGAAAAAAAGAAAGGAAGAAATCCTGCCTCCAGGTGGAACAATTTAATTTGGAGTCTAAACAAATATTCTCCACTCTGGCTAGAGAGGACATGAGGTCTGCAAAGACAGGTCAAGAAGCTGCTAGGTGGTTAGGCCCACCCTCATATATCTTAGGACAAGACAGCTACATTCAGCCTCATGCAAAGAGAAGGCACAGAAATGGGTAATGTGATATGGGGAAATCAGACCTAGCACACAGAATACTGAGAGGCAGTTTTGACCCTCTTTTGTCTAATTACGATTTAGGAGAGTCTGTTCTGAAACTCCAAAGATGCTCAACATCATTCAAAATACTTAGATCAGCCCAGTAAATCAATGAAAGTGTGCTTCAAGCTACATAAAGAAAACGTTCCATCTCTGGAAGTGAGGGAGAGTCCCCACCCATTTTCTGAAGCAAAAAATGACCAAACTTTCCAAGGGAAAAATATGTTCAATAGTATAAAAAAGAAACTGGCCGAAGCCGGTTTGGCTCAGTGGAAGAGCGTCGGCCTGGGGACTGAGGGGTCCCGGGTTCGATTCCGGTCAAGGGCATGTACATTGGTTGTTGGCACATCCCCAGTGGGGGGTGTGCCGGGGGCAGCTGGTCGATGTTTCTCTCTCATCAACGTTTCTAACTCTCTATCCCTCTCAATTCCTCTCTGTGTAAAATCAATAAAATTTATTTTAAAAAAAGAAAAAAAAGAAAAAAAAGAGAAAAGAAACAGAGTTGAAATGGCATCATCAGCTAAGAACAGAGGAAAGAAATTAGGACAAATAGTGTCAATGTGAGGCCGAGGGCGGGCGCAGACGGCTTCACAGAGGCTTTCCCCCGGTGCCCCTGCCTGTGGTCTTTTTATGAGCACTGCCTTGGAATTAAGAAGTCTGAATTTTGAAAATCTGCTCTATTAACACTAATGATAAGAATGGCTTACATGTATGCGTATATCATATGCAGTACTTAATTTCATCCTCACAATATTTCCCATGGTAGGGAAAAGCAAGTTGAGTTTAAGAGTGGTTAAAAAATGTTTCCAAAGACATATAGCTTATGAGCAGATCTGGAATTTGAATCCAAAACCCAAGTCTTAGCCCTTACTCTTTTCCTGCCTTGTCTAAAGAACAGCAAATAGTGTGAATAGATGTTTTTCTTTTTCTCTACTTGTCTGAACCTGACATAGGCTTCCAGGACAAGCTGATCCCTTTCTCCACCCTCATCTGACTGACCATAAAAGTGACTCCATAGTTCTCTTCTGGATGGTAACATGCTCTGTGTATAGAGGAAAAGGATCTACTTGCCAGCTTTATCACCCCTACAGAGGGGACAAATATTTTTAGGGCATTAATGGAGTCTCACTTATTTTCATATTTCCCATCATTCCCCAGTGCCTCCCAATGTTCTCTGGAGCACAGTGAATGATCAAGGAACTGTTGCATTAATGACGGCTGATCAGCTCTGGCTCGACAAGTCACTAATGATTTTTTACACAGAGCCCACATTTTTTTCAGAGCTATGCTAAAATCCCTAAAGATTAATAAAGGAAACAAACCCCATTCAAGCCTTCTCACTGATAAATAACCCTTGGTAAGAAATGAAACTTTAGCCCTAACCAGTTTGACTCAGTGGATTAGGTGTCAGCCTTCGAACTGAAAGGTCCCAGGTTCAATTTCGGTCAAGGTCATGTACCTTGGTTGTGTGCACATCCCCAGTGGGAGGTGTGTAGGAGGCAGCTGATCAATGTTTCTCTTTCATTGATGTTTTTAACTTTCTACCTCTCTCCCTTCCTCTCTGTAAAAAATAATAAAATACATTTTGAAAAAAAGAAACAAATCTTTAGTCCCTAACATCGTAAAATTAGCACCTCAACCAGTAATTTTGTAAATATGATTTGCTCTATATTTGAAATAAATTCATTTTTTGTAACTGACACATTTATTTTAAACTAGAGGTCCGATGCATAAAATTCGTGCAGGTGTATGTGTGTGTGTGTCCCTCAGCTCAGTCTGCACCGTCTCCAATCTGGGAACCCTTGAGGGCAGTCAAATATCCCTTTCACAATCCAGGACTGCTGGCTCCCAACTGCTTCTGCCTGCCAGCCTGATCACTTCCTAACCACTCCCCTGCCAGCCTGATCACCCCTAACTGCCCTCCCCTGCCAGCCTGGTTGCCCCTAACTATCTTTCCCCGCAGGCCTGGGTCACCCCCAACTGTCTTCCCTTCCTGGCCTAGTAACTCCTAACTGTCCTCCCCTGCTGGTCTGGTCACCCCAATTGCCCTCCCCTGCAGGCCTGATCCCTCCAACTGTCCTCCTCTGTCAGCCTGGTCCCTCCCAAATGCCCTCCTTTGCAGGCCTGTCTCCCCCCACAACTGCCCTCCCCTGCAGGCCTGGGTCCCCCCCAAGCTGTCCTGCCCTGCTGGCCTGGTCTCCCCCAACTGCCCTCCTCTGCCAGCCCGATCACCCTAATTGCCTTCCTCTGCTGGCCTGATCGCCCACCACTGCCCTTCCCTGCAGGCCATCTTGTGTATTAGAGCGACAGTCAATTTGCATATTACCCTTTTATTAGACAGACTATTCTCCCTTTTCACAGTGAAAATATTGCTTCCTTCAGACTAACTCCTTTATGCTCTTCTAGTGGTTTGGGGCCCAGCAAGGGAGGATCTCCTGGTGATCCCATTGGCACTGTTAGCCAGCAACACTGTCTCAAAAGAGACTGTTTTATGTAAAAATTGGTTTCACTTTACTTACAACTGCTGGTGAGGGGACGTGGATGCTTGCAACAGATCGCGGGCGGATGTGATTGACCAGATGGCAGAGGACAACACCATCCATGAGCGCAGCACCCAGGTCTTCATGCAGGCTGACCTTGAGTCTCATCTCAATGCTCTGTGGGGGAATCAGGACATTTTGGTCAAGGATGGACCACATATACAGCAGTGGTTACCATATAGCAAAGGTATGTAGTAGGCTGCACCATCTAAGCTTGTGTAAGTGTGCTCTAAGATGTTCACAAAACAGTGAAATTGCCTGATAACATTTCTCAGAACATATCCTCATTGTTAAGCGGCCCATGACTGTATATGAGATATTCACAATTTGCAAACAACTTAAATGTAGAAAGAATGCCAGTAGAAGCCAAAATGTTAACAATGCTTGTCTTTAAGCAATGGGATAAAAAAGTATTTATTTTTATTCATCATATCTCTATTTTCTCCAATTAACATTATTTCTTATTATATTTTCAATTAAAATGTCACTTGAAAAAAGGAAAAAAAAGGTGACAACTAAAAGAATATAGCATTTCCCCTGAAGAATTAATAAAATATAAAAATATGAATGAATAGAAACATGATTGATAGTGTCCTCTTACTCAATAAAAAAATCAATTTTTTTTATTGTTTTCAGAAAGGAAGGGAGAGGAAGAAAGAGATAGAAACATCAATGATGAGAGATAATCATTGATCAGCTGCCTCCTGCATGCCCCGTGCTGGGGATTGAGCCTGCAACCCAGGCATGTGTCCTTGACTGGAACTGAACCCAGAACTTTTCAGTCCACAGGCCAATGCTCAATCCACTGAGCCAAACCTGCTAGGGCAAGAATGTTTTCTGATAAATATGTATGGTATTGTAAATGTCTTTTCCTATGATTTTCTTAATAACATTTCCTTTTCTCTAGATTACTTTGTTGTAAGAATACAGTACATAATACATGTTTAGTATGTGTTAATCAACTGTTGATGTTACCATTAATGCTTCAGGTTAACAAGCTATTTATTTAGTAGTTAAGTTTTTGGAGAGTCAAAAGTTATACTCAGATTTTCAACTGCTTTAGTGGCAGTGGTTGGAGAGAGGTGCCCTCACCACCATGTTGCTTCAATTCTGACAATCATTATTCAGTTATATAATATTTCTTGGGTACCTCACGGAGTTGTTCCACCAGTTCTTTTTCTTCTCTCATTTGTTCCATTTTCCTCCGAATTGTAAACTGTGGGTCTATAGATTCCAAATTTCTCTGAGGTCTTAGAAATACTATAATAGAAAAGAAAAATAGCGTTTATGGAGTATCTAGAGTAGGTTACCATAACACTATTCATATTTAAATTAAGCAAATGGTTTCTTTATTTATCCCAAATATTTCATTCACCCCTCACAGAAATAACGGTAAAAATGTGACACCACTGGAAAGCATGATTCAAATGTTCTAAAAAAGATTATATTTTAAAATTAACTGGGTTGTGTGTCTAACAAAAGCTATATTTTTTGGTGGCAATAAACTCAATCCAGGAAAGAGATTGGCTCATCTTCAGAATGGGTCCATTTCACCCTCTGAAAGATTTCCCTCCTTTCTCATTCTCCCCAGGGTTTCATTTTAAGTTTTCATTTATATTACACTCGAGGTTTCACATTCTATTCATTAAACTCAGAGAATCCGTTTCACATAAGAAGTCTCTAGAATTGCTTTACATATTTAAAATAGTACAGATTAATGTTTTGTTGGCTAAAATGTTTCATAAGCTTGGGTTAAGAACTTAAGTGATGATACATAGGATTATATGTTTGAGTGTGGAGTGGAAGAATCCTGCCTTCCAGCATGCCACTGACCCTTACTTATGTGTAGAATATTTTGTACCGTCTGTATTAGTCTTTAGAAGATGTTATTCTTCTCAAGTTTAGACCGGTGGTACCTGTGGTCTGAAAGGTTGGCAACTGCTTGTTTAGAGCACACCTTTTTTCTGCAGCCAGACGCTTAACTCCTTTCAGAGGGAGCACCACTGCTGGTTGCTATACCTGGAGGTTGTAATTTTAGGATCTCAAACCAACGATAATCTCTTACCTGCCTCTAATCTTGCTAACTTTTCTAAAAGGAATCTATGGTCATCTCTAAAGAGCTAACTTTTTGGATTCACTGTCACTGGCATGATAGAAGGCAGAATTTTTGTACTCCATACTCAAACATGTAATCCTGTGTATCATCACTTAGTTCTTAACTCAGGCTTATGAAACATTTTAGCCAACAAATTATTAACCTGTGTTATTTTAAATATGTAAAGCAATTCTAGAATCTTCTAATGTGAAACTGATTCTCTGAGTTTTATTTATGACACAAAACCCAGAAGAGATTTAAACTTGATTTTTTTTCTCCCTTGAGATTTTTATCTTATTAAGACTGTCACCTTTCCAAGCACACAGAAGGAGCCAAGAGCTGGTAAGAGGCATATTTAACTCCCATTAGACTATGTATGTGTGTTTAGGGAGAAGGGTAGGGAAGCACTTTAGGAAATTTTGGGCAGAGAACTCCAAACTTCAAAAATCAATATAAGATAGAAAGTCTGCATTGGCATGATACAATTCTAGTAATATCATCCACCATAATGTAAATAATCAACACTAATAAAAGGCTAAGATGCTAGTTAGACTGAGAAACCTTTCAGACATCTTTCCTGACAAAGCCATGGTGGTGGGACTGAGGCAGAGACGGTTAGGGGTGATCAGGCCAGGAGGGGAGGGCAGTTGGGGGCGATCAGGCCAGCAGGTGTGGCAGTTGAGGGCAAGCAGGCTGGCGGGGGGGACAGTTGGGAGCAAGCAGCGGGCCTAAACCAGCAATCAGATATTCCCCGAGGATTGGAGAGGGTGTAGGCCGGGCTGAGGGACCATCTCCCACCCGCCATCCCTCCTCCCCGCACAAATTTTGTACACTGGGCCACTAGGTAGAACAAAAAGGTTATGCAACTACTATTCTATTTTGACAAACATTTCCTATGAGCCACTTTAAGAATTGTTCCAACTTATTAGGTTTGTTTTTTTTTTAGGGTGAATATTGTTTACAAATATAGTTTAAATAAATAAAAAATTAAAAACTCAAGTCCACTCCATAAAATCAATTATCCCATGCTCACTCAACAGTGCCATTTTAATCTCAATTTGTATCTTTGGACTAAACCATCTTATAAATGACTTTCGTTGTACTTCAAATGTCTCAGTATTTTCTTTATAAATCAGTTCTAGAATTTTTGCATCAGCATTCTAATGCTCTATGAAAGACCAAAAGTTTGACACATCTTAATAGACCCTTAATTTAGAGTTAATGGAGAAAGGAAGTGATTTAAAGTACATAATATCTTCTGGAACCTCAGAGAGGAGTCGGCATGGGGCTGAGCCTCTGCCTCAAGCCATCCAAGGAAGTCACAGGCAAAAAGCTCCAAAAACACGCCACCAAAGGGCTGATACCAAGGCCCAGGAAAACTAAACCCCACTTTCCAGAGCAATTATTTTAAATTATTTTAAAAACAAAGGCAAGACCAGAAAAGGAAGAGTAACTAGCAGGGAGAAATGAGAACTCAGCAGGGAGAAATGAGAAATGTACAGAGCAAAGGAAAATGAAAGAAAGTCTGACAAAATAGGAAACGCATTAAGCTTGCCCACACACAATACTGGGCCCAACAACAACAAAAAATTTCCATTTAAACACAGCAACCACAAGAGATATATATATTAAAATATAAAATCTAGAAATAATCCACGCCCGAAGAAAAGAAAACCAAATTTACCAAAAAGTAAAGGAATATAGACAGAATGAGCAATATACAAACTCGCCAGCAAGGGGAGCCCCAACACTATTTTAAAAAATCTAATGTTTGAAGGATTTTCCTTTGCCTTTTTTCCTGAGGGAATCGTATATAATATTGTGTGTTTAATATTTCAGTATGTTTTTATTGGCAGATTTCATTCATAATACAAAACTATCAGGAAATTAAACTAACCATAAGCTTTTGTTTAACAGCATACAATTCAAGTGTCAATGCCTTGTTGGAGCCTTATGTGAGATAAAAGATGGGCAATGGTATCTAGGTTTTAATTCCTTGGCATCGCTTTTCATCTCAAATTCAAAATACAAAATGCATGCTTGGGTATTTGGCTCTATGATGTTAATTAATCACAAAGTGTTAAAATACATCTGAGCTGTGAATTTTTAAATGAACATTTCAAATGTATATAAAATTATTGCAAACCATGAATATATAACTACTACTAGTTTTTTAAATGGATTAATTACTGTGGGATACATGAAAATTTAAAACAAAGTCTTTAAGCTAATAATAAATCTACAAAGCATCCCTAACCAGTTTGGTTCAGTGGATTGGGTGTCAGCCTTCGGACTGAAAGGTCCCAGGTTTAATTCTTGTCAAGGGCATGTACCTTGGTTGTGGGCACATCCCCAGTAGGAGGTGTGCAGGAGGCAGCTGATTGATGTTTCTCTCTCATCGATGTTTCTAACTCTCTATCCCTCCCTTCCTCTCTGTAAAAAATAAATAAATAAATAAAATCAATAAAATATATTTTTAAAAATAAAAAACATTTCCAATTTAAAAATAAGTAAATAAATCTACAAAGCACTTAAGTACTTGCTTTTTTGCTGGGATTGTTAGGAGAGAATAATTTGAATTGGGACCATTATGATAGCTCTGATTATATTACCTACAATTTTTATTCTTTTAAGTCATATTTATATCTCTCTCACAGTACACATCATTTTCTCTCTTACTGTATAGATCTGTTTCTCTCCATTAAAAAGAAGCAATCTGACTTCATAGCTTGCACAAAGAGTCCTCAGTGAACAGCTGGAGAATGAACGTAAATATGATAGACAGAGGCCTTGGGCATGGCCCATCTCCATCTCTGTACAGCAATGTGACCAGACAGGTCACCTCATCTTTCTGGTTTTAGTGGGCTCATCTGTAACAACAGACATTCTACTGTTGCATAAGATGTCTAAACTTTTTCTAGCTTAAAAACTACATAAAGTTCTTTGGTTTCAGATATCACTAGTAAGAAAATACCAATCACACATAAATCTTTCATTCTAGGCTTTATCTCCTTTAAACAACATCAGACCCACAAATAGCCATGTTTCCTGAAAAAACAAAAATGCCTCCCCCTCTTTTTAAATAAAAGAAGTTTCCAAGAAAGTTTCCATTTAGCCCTCCTAACTTCCAGAATTTAAAACAGAATAATATAAGAAGGGACTTTTGTTTTGTTGTGCAACCATACTTATTTTCAGTTAAAAAATTTAGAAATATGTGAAATAATAAAATTCCTTTAATAACTAACCTGCCAAGATTAGTTTCCAGTTGTCTTTTATATAAGACAACTGGAAAAGCATTTACAGTTGAATTTTGACCAGAAATCACAGCAAATATTTTAAATACATATTTTCTATGTATTACATCTATAACACAGATTTTAAAAAATATTATTGTCCTAGCCAGGGTAGCTCAATTAGTTGGAGCGTCATCCCATACACCAAAAGGTCATGGGTTTGATTCTCAGTCAGGGCACACACCCAGGTTGCAGATTTGTTCCAGTCAGGGTATGTATGGGAGGCAAATATTGATGTTTTGCTCTCTGTATCCCTTCCTCTCTCAGTGAACTCAATTTTTTAAAATTAAAAAATAAATAATAAACATTATTATTGGGAAATAAATCTTCCTATTGTGTCTGCATTGTGCTGCTATTTCACATCTCACTTCTCTTCCGAGTAAATCATACTCTCCATTTCATTTGACATTACTTTTATCATTATGTATGTATCTTGAAGTAAAATGTTTAAAATATGAACTAATAGAGACTCAACTATGTGTTATGTAACTCTAAATAAATTGTATTTATTTTATTTTAATCTCTTAAGCTATTTAAAATATTTCATGACATAAAAATATATCAAGTAGATATTCTCATTTTTCATTTGAAGTTTGATTCTCAGGCCAAGTTACCATTCTTAAGTATTATATAGATGAATTTATACTAAAAAAAAGTGGAAGGTATTAAAAATTAAAATAAGCAAGTAATTTGGAAAAAATAATGAGAAGGCAAATGAATTCTCTTCATTTTTAGAAATTTCTCAATGATAACATTTTTAGCATGCATCCTAAGATCAGTCACAGCACATTGTAATTACTTTAAAAATCTCATACAGGCCTGGCTGGCTCAGTGGTTGAGCATTGGCCTATGAACGAGGAGGTAACAGTTAGATTCACTGTCAGGGCACATGCCTGGATTGTGGGCTCACTCCTCAGTGAGAGGCGTGCATGAAGCAGCTAATCTTTGATGCTCTCTCATCATTGATGTTTCTCTCTCTCTCCCTCTCTCTCTTCTCCTCTCTGAAAGCAATAAAAATGTATTTTTAAAAATATACAGAGAACATAGACAATGAAAGACCAAAGTTTAAAAGTATTTCTTTCAAATGCAGGAGCAAGCATAGATAATCCAAATGTGCAAACTCCAGATTTTTGTAAATAAGCAAACAAGCCAAAAAACTCAAACAGAAAAATAGAGAAGAAATTACTGTAAAGCTCTGTCCAAATTCAGAATATTCAAAATAATTAAAAGATGTCTGACAAACTGCTAGAGAACAATACTCATGCACTTTTCTGGACTTCCCTTTCCAGGTTTACTCGATATCTTTTTTATCGGGCATGCAAGTGAATATAGCTCTATCTTTAGCTGCATAGAAATTAGTGCTCAATATATTAATTGGCTTATTAATAAGCACATTGAAGAAAAGGTACAAAGCCACCTACCATTGTCACTGTCTCCTTCAGATGGAACACTGTAGCTAGAGTTGTCCCATGTTTGTGCCTGTGTAAGTTTGTTGAAGGAGATAGGAGGAAGAGTGAGGGCTGGGTCTGCAGGAGAGCGAGAGAGCCAGTCCGCGTATAGTTGCACAAGGACCAGGAAAAACCAAAGGGGCAGCAGCATTCCACAAATGGCACAAGAATTATATGGAAATGAAGTGAATTTCATGTTATGGGATTTAATTTCAAATGTACAATATAGGAAAAGAATGGAAGATGGTGCATGGAATAAAAAGAATGATAAAAACTGAGTGTTAGTACTTATCAATCAGATACTTTGCATGCAGTTAATATCATGAATCTTAATACTTCCATAAGCCCACAGACTTTGAGTATTAATGAATCATGTCAGCAGAAAAAAAGAGTACCCACAGATTATAGATAAAAAACAAAAGATCTACCAGATAACCTTTTCAGAGGCCTTCTAAATAATAATTTTAGCAAATAAGATTCACACAAAAAAATTGGTTACATAGTACAATGTTAATATGGATAGTTATATCTAATACTTAACAATACAACTATTAAAGAATCAGTGTTTACTATTGGGAAATTTTTTCATAAGGCAATATAAAATATCTCTTTAAAGACATCTAAGTCTATTGGCATGCTTTATTGATAGGTGAATATAGCCAACTCATTGTTCAACACTTGACATACACACATCTAAATACTGTCTTCAATATTTGTCCATATAAAAACAATTATGGATACTAGTAGAGTCTCTTTAACAACAAACCTCATTAACCAATAAATATCATTCAACTTCAAACATTCTGAGTTGGTTATTTATGAAAAAGCATTTTCTTTGCACTAAATATGCATATAGTAATTATATGTTTAGAAAATACTTAAATGAACTATAACTAGAAAATGTTATGCAGTTACTTATATACACAGGGCCAGTAAAATAAATAGACATGGTGCTAAGACTATTTGCTTATATACAGTTGTCTTTCTTTGGAGGAAAACACAGGAGACAGAAAGAATGTTCTTTGAAGTAAACTACCAATCTGCTTCAAAAATATAAATTCTTACTCCAACTTACTAATTTGAACAGTCTATGTTTTTTTATATCAAAGAAATCACATAAATCCATATACTGAACTTTAAAATAAAAATCATTTGGCTTTTAAAAGTTCCAAAGATACTCAATCAAAAAATATTTCTAACTTTTAAAATTATATCATGTTCAATTAAGATTACTGTATTTATTATTTTCTAGAAAATATGAAAGTACATACTTTAACATTATTAAATAAAATGAAAAAAATCCCAATACATAATTCTAGTTTTATAAAGTTCCAAAATCCACTTGATGTTCTGAAGATAAATTAGCTTTATTTACAGCAACCAAACTCCACCGAGCTTTCAACAACTGGAACAATTTCCACATAAGTTAGTCAGCATTATAGAAATATTGAAATTGGAGAGGAAATTGTCTTTGTTTTCTGCTATTCAAAATAAATACCCCTTTATTTTTCACCACTACAAAGAATTTGAAATAGTTTAACAATACAAGTACAAAGTTGATAAGCTGAGTTTTGATTCCATACAAGGAAATAAAGAAGTCACTGAGACAATTTTACAACTAAATTGCAATGTTCAAAAGAATATTATTTTTCTAAGATCTATTCAACTTTTATACAATCAATTCGAAAATATTTATTATTGTGCAAAACTGCTTTGTAAGGATTAAGGGAAAGTCTGTAGCCTAATATGAGGTCCTCAGCGTGTGGTGATCACCAAAGGCACAGATGGCATATGCCCCGAGTAACTGCCATTCCTCTCAGCACACACGGAGACCATGAAAATGGACGCTGGCCTGAATCTCAGTCCCAAAAACGAAGAGGCTATTCATTTGAACTTATTTTGTAACAAACAAAACACCTTCCTATAAAATGCCTACTGATAACCTTTGCCACACCCAAGCATTATTTCAAATAGCTTTGTCTTATAGCCCATTCAAAATGCCCAGGAAAGCATATACCCGGCCACAGGGTGACCATCAATCAACTTGCTTCAAAAACAAAACCCTTTAAAGAATTATCTTTGTTTTCTTTATGGGTACCCATTTTCAAAATATACACATGTGTAACTTCAATTGTTGCCAAAATGCTTTACTGAAAAATCCAATGATATCTGAGTTTTTTACTAGTTTTTGCTTAAAAGTACTTGAGTTTATTTTCTAGTACTTAGTTAAAAGCATAGTAGTGAGTATATGCAAAAGACCTAAAAATAAAAAAATATGAAAACAAAGAAGGTAGAAAAGTGCCAGAATTTTAAATATGTGGAGAAATCAGAAGAACAAAATTTTTCTATACATAATCCTTCTTTCTAAAATCAAGAGTCAGTCTGCACATTGCTATAATTTACACTTGTGAATACACTAATAAGAAATTAAAAGAAAGTAGGTAATATAAGCAAAAAGGCTCTTTAAAAAGATTCCTGGCCAGTAATGTGAGCCTTGAAATGACCTATCACCCCGTTATACAGTAAATACACAGACCCTACACCAAGGCTCAGAATACCAATGAGGGATGTCTCAGAAAGAAAGTCACCTTCCCAGAAACCTTTCTTTAACTTATCAGGAAGCATCTGGGAGACAGGGCTCGCTATTTTATCTTCCCTGGATTAAAAAGAACTCAAAAGAGCCCAGCTTGTGTGGCTTGGTGGTTGAGAGTCGACCTACTAGTATGAACCAGGAGGTCATGGTTTGAAACCTCGTCAGGGCACATGCCCAGGTTGTGAGCTTGTTCCCGGTGTGGAGCGTGCAGGGAGGGGGGGGATGAAAGGGGAGTGTGGCAGGGGGCAGCCAATCAGTGATTCTGTCATCAATGATGTTCTATCTCTTTCTCCCTCCCTTCCTCCCTAAAATCAATACAAATATATTAATACATATATTAAAATTCAATAGAATAATTCTTTCCCACTTATATGTCCCATCATCTTTTCCCTCTTCACTCTGATTCAGAATAATAGAGGTAAGATCTCTAATACTGATAACACAAACTTACTAACTAAATAACTAAAAACAAGATTCCAAATCTGGCCTTCCCAAGCTGTAATCAGGTTCTGACACCAGGACTGAAACTCACCAGAGTTGACAAGGATGTGTACATTAGAAGGCTAAAGAGAAACCACTGAGTTGTTTACAAGTTTATGAATGTTGAGGCTTTAGTTTACCTGATCGAGGTTTCAGGCCAAATGGAGCTGCACTGCTGGTGGTTGGAGAGACTTCGGGGGAGTTTTCTCCAATCTGTGTTGTTATAAGGAAAGAAAATTTTGTAAAAAACTGAAGAAGAACTATGCATGCATGCTTCTCTATGCTCAAGAATTTTAATAAAAAACACAACTTTTTGCATTTGCTGCTGTGTGAAGTCCTGACTAAATAATATGAAAATCAATGCAAATGCTTTGAGTGGCATAATCAACAGAAGGTTATTTTGGGGGAGAACCGTTCAATTTTTAGTTGATCATTTTAAAAATACTAAAGGCCCGGAGCATAGATTCATGCACTCTATCAGCCTGGCCTGTGCCTTCTCACAATCCAGGACCCCTCAGGGGATGGGCTGGTGGTTTTGGCCCATCCCCACAGGCTGGCTGAAATCATCAGTCCGACATTCCCCACCCCGAGGGATGCAGTAGTGTGCTAAGCAGCAGGCGGCTGGGGAGAGCCCAAGCCCAGGGAAGAGCCCCGAGCCACCCGTCCATTGTTTCTCCTGGCCTCCTGCGCCCACCGCTGCTGCTGCTCAGCGGCACTGGCATGGGGGCAGGAGAGTCTCGCACCTGCAGCAGCTGTGCTCACCAGCTGTGAGCCTGGAGTCTGGTCCCCAACAGCTGAGCAGCGCTCCTGCTGTGGGAGTGCACTGACCACCAGGGTACAGCTGGCCAAATGGTTGACTGGTCAAACAGTTGACTGGTCGCTTAGGTTTTAGATATATATAGATTTTACAATCATGTGAAACTGACAATCCTTTTCTGCCCCACAATGGATGTGTTCAGGGGCATGCATGCACACACACAGGCACACATTCACATCTACCTCATAGAGAACACATCTCATAATTATGATAAAGATTCATAATACTGAACACACCTCTCATCTACAGCAGCAGTGGAGAACCTTTTTTCTGCCTAGAGCCATTGGATATTTATAACATATTCGCTAATGTAATTCACATAATATAAATTTATGTTGCTATGGAAAAAGCTCTGAGACTTACTGAATTTTGAGTCCTGCCTGTGGTTGCCGTGGCAGGGCAAAACCAAATGATTTCCTGGGCCTTCCTTATATGGCCCTCAGGCCAGACATTCCCCATCCCTATCTACAGGCAAACCACTCACTGAATCACTGATGGAAAACAAGACATTCTATATGTGGCCTATTTAAACTATTTTCATTTTATTTTTTAATAAAGATGTCCCCATGTTTGGTTTTCAAAATATATCTTATAAAATTAATCTTTATTTATGAATAGGGCCAGTTAAGGCTTTGAAAGCTAATGAGCTAGATTTCCATAGAGAATCTGCAATACAATTAATTCATTAATCATGATAATCTTATAGAAATATATAGTCTTCAGACTTCAAAGAATAGATCAGCTTTTATTAATCTTCAAGAAACTTACCTTATCTGGAGAATACTCGCTCCCATTACTCTGTGGCGTTGGATTATTTTGCACCTTAAAGAAGGACAAAAATGCATGGTATGTTTAATTAGACTATAAAATTACAGAGGCAAGAACTATGTCTTTCTTATTTCCATCATATCTTTGGCATGTAGGCACTCAATGATTAACTAATTTGTGTGTTAAGTAGCTAAGTAGGTTTTACTTACATTTTCTAAAAACATGAAGCTGTATCCACACACACAAAAAATATATATCTAAGGTATCACATAAAGTAAGCAAGGAATTTGCCAGAACAAAGAGGCCAGCCCAAACCACCTGTGAAGGTCAGCCACCTGGAGGCTTCCACCCCCATTTGAATTACAGGTTTTAGAAATGGTTCAAGGCAGTAGTTCCCAAATACACAGAATCTCATTGGGAGCTTTTAATACTGCCTGGATCACAAATTACCTGGGAAACCATTATGCTGTCAATTCAACTTCAGTTTGCTTTCACAACAAAAGCTTACTTTACTCAGACCTACCTTCTTTATATGGTAATCAAAAACCCCATTGACGCACCTTAATAAAACATTTGGTGATGGCTAATATCAATATCTCCATAAAGACTACACTAAATTAATATATATTTAAGATATCTTTTCCTAGTCCTTTGTTGAAGAGTGTTATTAAAAAATATTCCCATCTTTGACAAATACAAGAATAAAACATTTTTAGAATAAATCAACATTAATTTCCCTGCTCAATTAAATGGCTTTATTAGAACTGCTCACAGTAATTTCAGGTTTGATTCTCTGTAATTTTGCTACTGTTAATGAATGGTAATGTAAATATCTGTGTTTTCCAATGGCCTTAGGCTCTACAGCAGCGGCTCTCAAACCACAGGCATTAGGAAGATTGAGAACCACTGCTCTACATGGGTGTTTTTCTCCCTCTCTCTTCCCTTCTTTCTCTCTAAAATCAATAAAAATATCTTTGGGTGAGGCTTTAAACACACACACACACACTGGGAGGCATGCCTCGAAAGGAGCTTGATGAAATGGGCCCAGGCCAGCTTCAAATAAAAAACTTCCTGATGCTGCACTCTTGGGTAATTCTATGAGCCTCCTCTCAGGGAGGAGGTGATGCAATGATTCTGTCTAAGGACCACAGCAGGAACAATAAACAGTAGTGGAGTAACAGTACCAGCTACCATTTAGGTGTCCTGGGCTGTGAAACAATCCCAATTTACAGAAAATGAAGGTGAAGTTTAGAGAAGTTACACACAGTCGCCCCTAATTAGCAAGTCTTTGATATGTAACTTAAACAACAAAATTCTAAGTCACGTGCTTAACAATGAAACCATAAGCTCTGGCTTGGGAACATAGCTGTTTCAATTGCAGTTCTCTTTCCCCTTATTTAACATAGATCCTTAGCTAGTTAAAAGTGAAAGTGATTTTCTACAGTACCTGTTCAGACACGTCAGGGGACATAAATGAGTTTGTACCACAATTAGCCATCCTAAACCCATTCATTGAAAAGGGAAGAAATAGATTGTAACCTGTTTCATTCTTAAGTCACCTTTCTCAATTGTTTCTACCTCTCTGTTTCTTTGAGACCTTCTAGGCTCATCTCTAACTTTCTTCAGCAACCCAATTTCACCTAATGTAACTTTACTCGTACTCTGTCTGCAAACATCCCTACCACTCTCTCTTTGCTATATTCTTTTAATCCTCCTAGGCTTGTGGTCGGCAAACTGCGGCTCATGAGCCACATGCGGCTCTTTGGTGCCTTGAGTGTGGCAGTTCGCGAGCCACATGCGGCTCTTTGGCCACTTGAGTGTGGCTCTTCCACAAAATACCACAGCCTGGGCGAGTCTATTTTGAAGAAGTGGCGTTAGAAGAAGTTTGTTTAAAAAAATTTGGCTCTCCAAAGAAATTTCAATCATTGTACTGTTGATATTTGGCTCTGTTGACTAATGAGTTTGCCTAGGACCTAGGCAGTTCCCAAATAATTTTCTTGCTTTTTAAGTCCTTTCTAGTTAGCTTGTGTCTGGCTAGTTCATAGGCTTCATTTGTGGCTCTAAAATCTACATTGAATGGTCCTACCTCCAGTTTCTGACTCAGAGCAACTATGAATCTTAGTTTATATCCCCTGACTGAGTAAGACTGACACACACACAAATTTAGAGAATTTCATGGAAATCTTATATCTGATGGAAGGAGAAGTATAAGAGATAAACAGGAAAACTAAAGAGGATTAAAATTTTTTGAAAACCAGATCTTGAACTAGTCTGCCTAAGGAATGTTCTACCCCCGGACCTATCTTCATAGAAGGTGGCAGCCACCATTCTGTGGCAGAACATGGCACGCAGCTCTGCTGAATCCAAGAGCAGCCTTACCTCACACACCGGAGATGGCTCCCGCTGCATTTGACCACTGTAGGTATGAGGAGGGAAAAAAATATAAAGTGGAGTTTAAAGACACATACTTCAATGTAAAAAGAGAAAACATTGAGTTTAAAAAGTTCAACATACTTCAGTGCAGAATCTTGTAATTCTAAGCCTTCTGCTGATTCCTTAGGATAAAAGTTTATCACATTTTTCTCTGTAATATCAATGCTTAATCTAAAGAGTAGGAGGGAAAAGATGTTAGCAATTTATTGAAATTTTAATAAATCTACTGCTTTTGGTCATATTTAGTTTAAAGTTTTAATATATTAAAAATTATGTTTACCATTAGGACTAAGTAATGAAAGGTTTATGGTAAAAATTTCAAACTACATGGTATGTTCCTATCATGTGCCAAATTTAATATAATTTTCTGACTGCTCTTTGTCAAAATTCAACTTATTTGCAATATAACAATAATTTCTGATAGTCATAATATTCATAGGTAGTACACAATAAATTTTACTCTAGAATTTGATTAAGTTATGGAAGCAAGTAAAGTTGCTAAGGATACTCTATTATGGTATATGTACTAAGGGCCCTTAATTTTAAAAAGAAGATCTCTCTGATCTACACTAGTACCCTCATTAAAAATAAAAGAATTCATAAGCAATTTGATATGCATTTTTATTTTTGAAAAGGTCTTAGTTTCTGAATTTCTGCAATTTTAAAACCAGAAATTTCTATAAGTTATATAAAAGTTACAAAGCTATCTGAAAAGGTAGGAATGAGTTCATAGTATAGACAGCTATTAAAAATGCTATAAAATCAACAATCAGAAGTCCTTAAGAGAAGAAACCAAGATAAAGGCAAAATATGATAGTAACTTACAAAATTCTCAATCTATGAAATATGAGCTACCAAACAGTTGGAAATAAATGACCTCTTGAAGTGTCCTCTTTTTTATCAGAAACAAACACTGGACTAGATAACAGAAGTATTATTATAAAGTTAGAATTATCTTTATAATTATTTCAGGATGAACAACAAAGATCTAAAGCAGCCAAAGTAGTGCATTATTTGAGGAAATGAAATCCATGTAACACTTTATAACATATTATTTCAAAATATCACCGATAAAGATGCAAATCAACTATCACTTGGAAGATTGCTCCTACAATTAGGCAAACACCGTTCTCCTTGCTCAACATCCTTGGCAACTCACTGCCTCAGACATTTCCAACCTGGATAGGAAGAATCTCACAATTCTCAGTTCATCCCACTTCTCATGAAGGATGGCAAAATTGAGTTCCAGACAGGAAGCCACTCCCTCTCTCTAGGTCACTTGGAACTTACCTTTGGGTTCCAGTCTCATATTCCCATGCCACTGCTATTTCCACCTAAATAGACTGCTCTTTTTGCTTTGGGCTCATATATTAATCAATCTAGAACTTGTAATAAAATTTCATTGGGAGATTGATAAAAGATGTAAAATGTAGAAGTATTAAAACAATATAAAGTGTGAACCCAGTTGTGGCCTTCTCTGTCACGTCCTGTCTTCAAGGCTCTGTCCTGTGCTCACATTCCCTTTCCATCCATTTGCTTGCCTTTGAGAACCTCATCCTCTTAAATGGTTTCTGTTACTTCAGCACCTTGCGAAAATGACTTTCAATCTAACTTTCAAAGTCCCAGATCTAAACATCTAGCAGCTGAATGTACATCGCCACATAGCTACCTCAGGTATTATTCAGCACATCTTAATCAGACCCTAACATCCTCTTCAAATCTGCTGTCCCTCCTAATTCCCCATCTCAAATAGAGATGCCAGGGACTCTGGTCTAAAACACGTTGGACCATTCCCTCCCAGCCTTCTCACCACCCACTTTATGTAATCATCAAAGAACTACAATACTTACCACTGATTATAATATATACAGTATTAAAAATACTTAGAAACACAGAAAAATATCCATCATAATATACTTCCTTCCAGTTTCAATTTTTTCTTAGCTTCTTACACATTTGAAACCTAATCCTACTTATATTATTGGGATCAAACTTTAAGAATTTTATACACTTTTTTTTAACATTAACATTACATAATGAGCATTCTAATACTGGAAATTTTAATAAATATTTTATTGGATACCTTATATCCCATTTATTAATAACCAAAATATATTTCCTTTTTTTTCAAATATTTTCTATTAAAATACCTCCCCCTCACAATCTTTGTTCATATCCTTTAGCCCTTTAAAATAAAATTTTAGAATTCTTTTCAATAAATGGTTTCTATATTTTTTAAACCACAATTACATATTACTAGGATGCCTTCTGGGATGGTTTTGCCAATTTATTTCCCCCACTAGTAGTTTATATACTACTTCAAGTCCGCACAACCTTAAAAAGTAAGTACTTGTAACACACACACACACACACACACACATATACACATACACACATACACACACACACACGTTCTTTTATCCATTTCCTACCTTCTAATTACCTTGGTTTAGGATATGAAACTCAGCTCTCTAAAGAGCATGTCTTGATCAGGCACTTAGTAAAAAGCTAGGCCTGAAATAATGATTAGAAAGAATTAACAATATGAATAATCATATTTTTTATCCATCATTATCTTCCCTGCATATCCTATCTAATAAAAACCTAATATGTTGACTGGACAGTGGAAGGACCAGCTGGAACAACTGGTTGCAATGATGTACACTGACCACCATGGGGCAGATGCTCAACGCAAGAGCTGCCCCCAGCATACAGGCCCCAGGCTAGTCAAGGCAGGTGCCACCTGAGGCCCACCCTCTATCACCCCGCCAGTCAAACCACAGATCACTCTTGCTCACTGGCCAGGCCTAGGAACCCTACCCATGTACAAATTTTGTGCACCGGGTCTCTAGTAATAAAATAAAGTTTCAGCTCCCTAACAGCATTCAAAGTCATGCCCTTCCCCACTCCAAATGTCCCTTTGGTGGTTCTCAGTAAAGTCTGCACATCAGAGGCACCAGCATTACTTTTATAAAGTGGAAATGGCTAACACCCAAACTCACAAGTAATGTCAAGGATGTCTGTTTTGAAAGTTCCACAAGTCATACTGAAGCATGGCCAGGGTGGTGATCATCTAATCTGCCTGAGATTTTTGAAACTTGCTCCTTTCTTTTTGACCTCCATAACTTTGCTCAAGCTTTTAATTCAATCCAGAATTTGCCTTCTCCTTGAAATTGCTAGTTACTAAAGGTTAATATCCAAACCTTTAGGGAAGGCTGGTCTAGCAGACTCCCTTTTTTCATCTGGGGTCAGATGACACTCTATCAATTTTTAAGCCAGTTAATCAATTCACTTACAATAACTACTTAAGACAATCTCCCTCTACTATAGTTTAAATTCATCTTTATATCCCCCAAGGTGCACACTGTAGATCTTCCTATGCTCTAAGCACTCAATTAATGACTGTAGAATCAAAATGCTTTTCAATCAACAGCTAAAGATTTTCAGTCATATTAAGTCTGACCCATCACTTTTTCAGGGCCTGACAACACTGGTGGTATACACTCACTAACCACCTTTTCCTAAACTCACAGAACCAAGTTGAAATCAGCGTGGTGTGATTTTCACATTCACCACATTTACAAGACCACATAATTTTCATATTTAAATTCCCAGGACCCCTAAAGAGTTTATCAGGGACAGATTTTGGATCTATTTCCCTAATGATAAGGTAGTTACCAGGTATATTATCTTACTGAAAAATACTTTGTCAATAGGAATTTCATTATCCTTAATTAAGCAACCAAAAAATGAATCTAATGCATATAGTAGTTATTGACAATGGCTAATCTAATTTAAAAATCACCTTGTAACCCAAATCTTTAGAAATATATTATTTAATTAACATATAATTGCCATAATCAAATAAATATTATAATACTACGTGGCATAATGATTCTTCAGTTTTTTGAAAAATCTCCCTTGTAGTTCTATAAACAGGAATTACCATATTTCTGTTTTGTTTTTTAATCCTCACCTGAGCATATTTTTCCATTAATTTTTAGAGAGTGAAGAAAGAGGGAAAGACAGAGAAATATCGATGTGAGAGAAACACATCGATTGGTTGCCTCCTGCAGAAGCCCTGACCAGAGCCAGGGCTGGGAGGAGCCTGCAACTGAAGTATGTGCCCTAGACCTGAATCGAACCCGGGACTCTTTGGTCTGCAGGCCGATGCTCTACCCACTGAGCAAAACCAGCTAGGACCATATTTCTGTTTTCTAAGAATTATACCAAAAATTCCCATATGAACTTCAGGAAGAGTGAATAAATTTCACTGAAGAATGGAGAAAGGGGGAACTGGTTTCAATACCTACAGAAGTTTGACTCTTATTTATGGTCTTGGGAAAATAGGCACTTAGCATGACTTCTTTACTAGTGGTTAAACAGAGACCATACTGTGTATATAACTATAAAGTGAGATAATGTGTTCCATAAATTAGTATGTATTATTCACACATGAAGCCTGGGCCAAAGAAAGACATGCATACCTGTTGGGATCTTGCAGCAAATCTACTGCTTCTCTCAGCTGTTCAATCATTGCTATAGTCATTTCCTGGTCTTTATATGAACTTATTCAGCAGCATGAAACCGGGCATGAGAATGAAAACCATTACAGAATATGAATATCATCTAAGTTCTTAAGAACAAAATTACAAAAATCTATCTAACATATAAAAAATTGATTTTGACCTGGCTCTCTGTGACCTTGGGTAAAATAATAAATCTTTCTGTGCCTCAATTTTGTCATCTGTAAAATGGGAAACAACAAATAGAACTTAATAGGATTGTTGTAAAGGTGAAATTGGTACTTGTAAAAGTGAAGTGAGGTATTTAGGATAGTGCCAGACATGTGGTATTTAATAAATGCTAGCTATCACAATTATTAAACTTAGGATTAGGGCATTGGGGTTTCTCACATCTTGAAACTGAAGAGCCTGGGTAAAGAAAGGGGACCAGGGCTATTTTAGGTCCATTTGTCAGCTTCTTCATACAAAAGGAAGGAAGCTAGATTCTTCACTTTGGAAGTTCTATAAAATTCCCTGAATCACATATTTCTACCTCCAGTCTCAAATCTGATAAAATTTGGGGCCAAGGAAAAGGTATGACCTTGTATTGTATTACCCTAACATTGTGACTACAAGCATCAGACAGAGAAAAACTGGCTGCTACTTATCAATATGAGCTACCCAAAGAAAAGCAGACCAAAATTCTTATCATGACAGGGCTTCCGTTCTGCTTAAACCATGAACTTTACAGGGTAGAGGCTCATAACTAGGCCTTGGTACTCACATTCCCTCGGGTTGCCAGTGTATATCCTCTTCTATCCGTAATGGTTCTTCATAGACTTCTGTCCTATCCTGGGGAAGAACACATGGGTTTTCTAATAGCCAATGGCCTTCAACAGTCAACAGTTAAACCCTATCCCAGCCCATGTTCATGGAAGTACTGTTCATAATAGGCAAAAGGTGAAAACAACCCAAGTGTCCCTCAATGAATGGATGAATGAATGAACAAAATGTGGTCAATACATACATGAATATCATTCAACCTTAAAAAGGAAAGAAATCTGAGACCTGCTACAAAGTAGAAGAATCTTTAGGACATTGTACTAAGTGAAATAAGTCAGTCACAAAAAAACATACTATATGATTCCACTTTTATGAGGTACCTAGAATAGTCAAATTTATAAAGATAGAAAGTAGAATGGCAATTGCCAGTGGCTTGAGTATTTAATGGGTAAAGTGTTTCAGTTTTACAAGATAAAAGGAGTTCTGGAGATGAATGGTGGGGATAGCTACACAATAACATGAATGTGCTTAATTTTACATCACTGCATTTTACACTTAAAAAATATCTAGATGATAAGTTTATGTTATATTTATATTACTATAATTAAAAAAAAGAAAACCTAGTGTAGGACCACAATACTTGTTAACTTACTGTCAAAAATTTAAAACATAATTCCTTACTGCTATCTTAGCACCTCCTGATGTCCAAAGATTCTTCTGTTGGGCCTGTCAGTCACATGAGAATGCATTCTGGCATTTGTAAGAGGAGAAAAGGGTGTGTGTATGTGTGTGTGTGTGTGTGTGTGTGTGTGTGTGTGTGTGTGTGTATGTGTTTGGGGATAAGAATGTATGAAATAGTTAACAACAGAAAATGCCTCAGATGACATCTAATATGCTTCATATATGCAACATCCAGATTTCACTGAAATTCCTGCCCCCATATCCCTGATTATTTTCTCAAAGAAACATTGGTGGGAGTATTGGCCAAGTGTGTCCCACTGTTGGAACTTCCAGATGCTTCTTTCTACTTTCTGCTCTGATACAGAAGAATGCTACTTTTGCTCAGCCACTAGCTAGAACAGAAGCCACCCTGAATGAGTGTATGTTTCTCTGACAAGGAAGGTACAACAATCAAAAGAACTGTTTTCTGCTTCAAGGTTCTGACACGTTGTTAACTGAGGCCCAGCCAATTCTCCAGATGTGTCACTGAGAATGAGTTTTCTTTCAAAGAGGTGGCTTGCTACCTGATGCCAGTCTCTGGCTTGAAAATACTCAGACATTTTCTATATTGACTATACTTTTAGTGCATAATAAAGTCAACATATAAATTATCGTGCCACACTATCCAAATGATAATGAAGTTCATGGGAGAAAATACACTACCATACATGACTGAGAAAACATGTTTGTATCTTTTCTTGTTGGGCTTCAACTACAGAAACCATGGGCATTTCCTTCTAATTTTAAGTTTCATAATAAAAAGTAGCCAACAGTGTGAAATATTGGTTTTTCTTGTAGTATGCAAAATAGGGCTTACTGGGTATCTTTTGCTAAGTTAGACAGTTACATAGATGATCCTCATTTGCAAATTCCATATTTATAAATTTGCCTACTCAACAAAATATACTTGTAACCCTGAAATCAATACTCATAGTGCTCTCCAGTCATTCGCAGGCATGCAGAGAACTATAAAAAATCCTGTGTTCCCGACATGCACAGTTCCAGCTAACAATGAGCAAGGAAATCCTCTGCCTTCTTGTTTCCGCTGTCATAGTGTAAACAAGTGTCCTTTAGAGTCTAGTTAGTGCAACATATTCACATTTTTGTGCTTTTTTGGGTTGCTTTTGCTGTATACAATGCCCCCAAGCAAGGTACTGAAGTGTGGTCCAATGTTCCTAATCACAAGAAGGCTGTGGTGCCCCTTAACAGAGAAAACATATTAGACAAACTTCACTTAGCCATGAGTTGGTGGTGTGGACTGAAAGTTCAATGTTAATTAATCAACAAAACATATTAAATAAGTGTTTTTAAATAAAAACACACATAAATACAATAAAGTCCATTAAACACAATAAGTGAAGTTATGTATTAACTATTTGACAGGGAACCTAACCCTGTACTTACACTTTGGAGCAATGGCTCAGTTTTAGATAATTCAGTGTTTGAGGTGACTTTATACAACAAAACTACCAAGAATAATGAGGATCAACTGTAGTTACAAAAAAAAATATGCTATTCAGTGAAGGAGGAAAAAAACAAGGTTATATAAAACACAACTCTGGCTCCTCAAGGACTGAGTGGTCGGCACATTGTTGGCTGTCATTTACACTCTCACAGGTTTTTAAAGGGATGCAACTCAAGGCTGAAAGAGGGCTGGTTTTCAATGTATGATTTTTCATTGTAGATTTATTTTTATTTTATTAATAGTAGTGCTTTGCTCAAGTTTTCAAGAAAGGCCACTTGTAGGAGTGGACATCTAGGAAACATTTGCAGAACATGTTTTTACATCCCTATTTACTCCTCTAGACTCTACCCCAAGGGTCTGTTCTGTAGAGCAGCCATTTCCATAGAGCCCCCTTTGCTTCCTAAAATCTCTGAATCTAGGGATATTTGCTTTTCTGAAACAAAATGCTTTATTTTACTAACTGCTTTGTTTTCCTTCAGAGTTTCCATTTTTACTTTAGATTCTCAACCTAAGATAAATTCTTCATAAAATAAAGACGAAAGCCCAATTTTCCATGTTTTATGACAGGCTTATTCCAGAGCTGATAGATAGAGGTCAAATCTGGGAGAATCTTATGAAAACTACTGGCCTCAGAGCAATATCATTAGATTTGCACTGTAGGAGAATGGCTGGCAGCAGAATATAAAGTGTTCAAGTGTGTGCGCACATGCATGTGCATGCAGGAGGCAGGACATTGAGTGAGAAGTTGGGGTAGGTGGGACTCTTGCAGTCATCGGAATTAGAAATGATAAAACTTAACTAAAGCAATGTCAATAGAGGTAGAGGGCACAAATGAGGCAGTGATTATAAGATATTTTGAAACAAGAATTGATGAATTAGATATAAAGAGTTAGTATTTCTGTGTTTCATCTTTCCACCGGCATACCTCGTTTCATTGCATGTCACTGAATTGAGTTTCTCAAATATTGCATTTTTTTTTTTTTTTTACAAATCAAAAGTAAGACCCTCCACTAAGAAAAAATATTATGACTTACTGAAGGCTCAGATGATGGTTACAATTTTTTTTAGCACTAATGTATTTTTAAATTCAGATATATGCATTTTTTCAAAACAATGCTTTTGCAAACTTAATAGACTACAGTATAGTGTAAACATACTTTTAATATGCACTAGAAAACCACAAAATTCATGTGACTCATTTTGTTGAATTATTTGCTTTATTACAGTGGTTTGGAACCAAACCCATAATATCTCTGAGGTATGCCTGTATATAATTTCTTAAAATCATCTTAGTTTCTACAAATGTAAGTACTATGTCAGGTTCTTTATGTTTGTCTTGAGAATGTAAAGACCTCTTGAGTACATCAGGATACCTATTATACAGTGTAAATTCACAATTTTCCTCACAGTTCCCTTGGAGGTGATGGCCAGACATTTAATTTAGACTCCAGCCATTCTAACACAATTCTCAGGAAATAACGATGTGCTCTGAGAAACCCCATGCTTGGCTTTAACACATTAACTCAAAGACCACCATCTCTCAGAAGCCACATCAAATCTGAATTTTACCAAATGAACCATCCTGGCATTCTTTGGTGCCACAACCTGAACCAAAAAGACTGGTAGAAACATACCAAGGCACTTTATCATGTTTCCACATGAAACCTTAACTACCAGCTTCAGTAAAAGGCTAGTTTTCCTCTCTTCTTTTTGCTGGCACTACAATGAAGCTTGGCAGCTTCACCCAACTTTTCAGCACCTCACTGTAACTACATCGATTCTGGAACAACTGTCCTCAGAATGAACTCCCAAAGATGGAAGACATTCATTCTCAGGTCCTGGAAGTCTCCATTTTTCTCTTTATATTGTGGGCATACTCCCAAGAAAAGCATTCACCTAGAGTACATTGAAGAGAATGTGAAACTTGTCTAGTTTGCCTTTTACTGAAGTAATAGGTAACTCTGACATTTGCTAATGAATACAATGTACTGAGCAATGGCAAGATGAGTAATTTCTGAATACAAAAGAAAATCACATACATATGCCAACAAATGAAAAGATATGTATGGGAGGAACTGGCTCCTAATGTCAGAAAATAAATACTGAGTCCCTGGTGGGTAGCTAATTTGGTTCGAGCATCCCACTGTGACAAGGTTGAGGGTTCGATTCTCAGTCAGGACACTACAGAAATACAGGAAAAACTAATGAATGTATAAACAAGCAGAACAATAAATTGGTGTCTCTCTCCTCTCTTCCCTCATCTTCTCCCTCTAGAATCAATCAATTTTACAAAAAAATAAAAATATACTGAGCTTTGAGAAGTTGTTACAAAAGAAGGTGGCAGTAAGATGACATTTAAGGTGATGCACTGGTAACCTTGAATCAAACAGAAGTAAATAAATAAATAAATAAATAAATAAATAGTTGATCCTCAACTTGCCTTAATATAATTTGTAAATTCCGAGTGGAGAACATCTGTTTCATGGGTAAATTGGTCTCTTTCTTCTCCAGAGTTGTCATTGTGACCAAGGGAAGGCTTTGATTGAAATTCCTGATGAAAGTCCGCTATTAGAAAAAAAGACAGACAGAAAGCATGATTTCACAAACTGCTGAACAAAGTACAGAATACCCTGAAATGTATCATCTAATCATTTCAATTTTCTCTCTTACCTTTTAAGGAGGTATATGACTGACCCAAGTTTTCTCTTCCCTGAATGATGTAAGAAAATGATAAAAGAAGAAAGAAGGGAAAGAAAAGCAAAAGAAACAAAAAGCCATAAGCTAAACTTAAAAGTTAAAAGCTTCTTATGGCTTAGTGTTTTTTGAGTGTTTTTTCTTTAAAGAAATGAGCATAATTAAAAATGGTGGAGGAGTAAATGGATGCTGCACAAACACACTCCCAGGACCAAACTGGATTTACAACTAAATTACAGGAAGACTCACTGGAAAGAACCCTGACAACCCAGGATGGAAAGTAGAGACAACAGCTGAAGTTCCAGAGAGATATCTCAGCTCTGGAGGGTTCCCACTGAGAACTATCAGGTCTAATCCCTAAACTGGGCTGCCCAGTAGAAAGCACCAAACTGAGAAAGGTGCCCACAGAACATCTGCATGTGAAAAGCAGCAGGGTTGCTGTCTGCCAGGAAAAGACAGCTGAAATGCAGGCACCCTCTTTCTTAAAGAACCAAAACATAAAATTCCCTGTGCAGCCATTCACTTTGTGATCCGGCAGAGGGAGGGCAGAGTGGACTAGAGCTATGTGAGCAGAAGCCAGGTATGGGGACTCTAGGTTAGAGTTCTGAAGACTGACACCCTGGTTTCCTGTGTTGAGTCATTCCCTCACACTGTGGAGGTCATCTTTCTCTGGCAGACAATTGCTATCTAGGCGGTTTTGCCTAGGGAGTATACAGCTGACTCACCTTATTGGGGAAAAAAAATCCTTTCCCTAAAGTGTGGAGTTTCTGAGGCCCATTAAGAGATTGAGAATAAAATTAGCCTCCAGGTAGAAGCAATTGCACCACCCTGTTAGGAAAACTCTTGCCATATCTGTGAATGATTGCCTGAGGGCTATTTAAGACTAAATCCAATCAGACTGCTAACAGGGCAGACTCAAAGCTGGGGACCTGATCTCATTAGATAAAAACAGTGTTTGCACTGTCCTGCACTAAAGAATGAGAGAGGCATAGAAGATCTGCCTTCTATGGTCATAAAATATATGGTCACAAAACCAAACAGGCACCCAAAATGAGGAGACAAAGAAACAATGCCCAAATTAAAGAGCAAGAGGAATTCTCCAGAAGAAGATATAAATGAAATGGAAATAAGAAACTTATCTGAAAAAGGGTACAGAATATTGATGGTAAAGATGCTCAACAGCATAAGAAAAGATATAGTAACTATGAAAACAGAAATAAAGGATGACATAGCACAAATAAAAAACACATTGGAAGGCTATGATTCAAAATAGACGGTGAAATAAAGAGCCTCCTAGACACACACACACACAAAAGAAAAGGAGTTCATCACCACCAAGCCAGCATAATAAGAAATGCTAAATAAACTGCTGTAATGAGAAGAGAGAAAACAAAACAAAACAAAACATAAGCATACAGAATTAAAATGGCAATAAACAAGTACATATCAATAATAACCTTAAATGTAAATGGATTAAATATTCCATTCAAAAGAATAGTATACCTGAATGGATATGAAAACATGATACAACTATATGTGGTCTACAAGAGACCTACCACAGAAGAACAGACTTATATAGGATGAGAGTGAAGGGATGGGGAAAAACATTTCCATGCAAATAGAAAACAAAAAAAGCTGGGGTAGTAATATTCATATCTGACAAAACAGACTTCAAAATGAGACAACAAAAATCACTACATAATTACTAAAGGGATCAATTCAACAAGAGAATATAACCCTAGTAAACATAGATGCACCCAATATATGAACATCTAAATATATATAAAAAACTTCTAGAGGACTTTAAGGAAGAGATCGACAATAATACAATCACAGTATGCTGATTTCAATGGCTAGAACTTCTAGACAAAAAATTAACAAGGAAATAGTGACTCTAAAGGACATAAAGGATCAGATGGATTTAATTGACATTTATAGAACATTTCACCCCAAAGATGCAGAATATACACATAAGTGTACATGGGTCATTCACAAAGAAGGAGCACATGTTAGGAGACAAAAAAAGTCTCTACAAGTTCAAGAAGATTGAAATTTTATCAAGCAACTTCTCAGATCACAGTGGGATGCAATTAGGTATCAACTACAGTAAAAACATCCCAAAACTTTACAACACATGGAGGCTAAATAGCATCTCAAGAAAGAAATTAAAAAGTGAATTAAGCCGGGACCGGTTTGGCTCAATGGATAGAGCGTCGGCTTGGGGATTGAAAGGTACCGGGTTCGATTCCGGTCAAGGGCATGTACCTTGGTTGCGGGCATATCCCCAGTAGGGGGAGTGCAAGAGGCAGCTGATCGATGACTCTCACATCAATGTTTCTAACTATCTCCCTTCCTCTCTGTACAAAATCAATAAAATTAAAATTAAATTTTAAAAAAAAGTGAATTAAAATGAACACACAAGAAGCCAAAATCTCTGAGACATAGTAAAAGCAGTCCTGAGAGTGAAGTTCATAGCACTATAGGTATACCTCAAGAAACAAGCAAAATAAGCAATAAACTATTTAACCTTACAACTTAAAGAACTAGAAAGAGAGCAACAACAACAACAAAAAAGCCCCGAGTAAGTAGAAGAAAGGAAATAATGATTAGAGCAGGAAAAAAATGACATATAGACTAAAAAATATATATTAAAAAATCAATGAAACCAAAAGCTGGTTCTTTGAAAGGATAAACAAGATTGACAAACCATTAGCCAGACTCATCAAGAAACAAAGACAGAGGTCCCAAATAAATAAAATAAACAAAAACAGAAAAGTAACCATTGACACCACAGAAATACAAAGGATTGTAAAAAAAAAAAAAAAAAAAAAAAATACTAAGGACAACTATATGTCAATAAGTTGGACAAACTGGATGAAATGAAAAATTTATAGAAAAACACAATCTCCCAAAACTGAATCAGGAAGAATCCGCAAACATGAATAGGCCAATAGCAACTGATGAAATAGAAGCAGTAATCAAAAAACTCCCAGTAAACAAAAGCCCAGGGCTGTATGGTTTTACAGGGGAGTTTTACCAAACATTCAAAGGACTAATACCTACACTCCTCAAATTAGTCAAAAAAATCCAAGAGGAGGGAACACTTCCAAGTTCTTTTTATGAGATCAGCATTATCCTAATTCCAAAACCACATAAAGACACTACAAAGAAAGAGAATTACAAGCCAATATCCCTGATGAATATAGATGCTAATATTCTCAACAAAATATTAGCAAATGGATCCAGCAATATCTTAAAGAGATCATACACCACGACCAACTGGGATTTATTTGAGGAATGCAAAGCTGGTACAATATTTGGAAATCAATAAACATGACACATCACATAAACACATTAATGTGTTTTTTTTACTAAAAAGTGCAACACCCCCCCCCTCCTTTTTTTTTATTAAAAATTATCAGCAAAGTGGGTATAGAGGGAGCATATTTCAACATGATAAAAGCCATTTAGGACAAACCAACAGAGAACATATTCAATGGGCAAAAACTAAAACCATTTCCTCTAGAAACTGGAACAAAACAGGGATGTCCACTTCCACCACTCTTATTCAACATAGTACTGGAACTGCTGGCCACCTCAATCAGACAAGAAGAAGAAATAAAAGGCATTCAAATTGGAAAAGAAGTAAAATTCTCATTATTTGCCAATGACATGCGATTGTATATAGAAAACTAAAAACTCAATTAAAAACTACTAGATTTAATAAGTGAATTTGGCAATGGAGCAGGATACAAAATCAACATCCCAAAATCAATGGCTTTTTTATACACCAATGATGAATTCTCAGAAAGAGAAACTAAACAAACAGCAGTGGATTGGAGGGAGTAAATGGGGGGAGGACATTTGTAATATTTTCTCAACATAAAGATTTATTTTTTTAAATCAAATTCTGTTATGCTTTTAAAAAAATTATATATGAGCATTTATTCTAATAATGCTGGCAGTGTGGGAGAGCAGCAGGTCATCCATGAAAATCTGCTCTGCTCACAGCTTACATTTTTATTTTTTAAATATATTTTTATTGATTTCAGAGCAGAAGGAAGAAGAGAAATAATTATTTTTTTAATATATTTTATTGATTTTTTACAGAGAGAAAGGGAGAGGGACAGAGGATTAGAAACAGCGATATAAAAATATCGATCAGATGCCTCCTGCACATTTCCTACTGGGGATGTGCCCAAAATCAAGGTACCTGCCCTTGACTGGAATGGTACCTAGGACTTTTCAGTCCAAAGGCCAAAGCTCTATCCCTGAATCAAACCGGTTAGGGCGATGAGAGAGAATTATTGATTGGCTGCTTTTTGCATGTCCCTCACTGGGTATCAGGCCCCAACCTGGGCATGTGCTCTAACCGGGAATTGAACCCTAACTGCCTAGTTCATAAGTTGACGCTCAACCATCCAACCAAGCTGGCCAGGCATGTCTTATGTGTTCAAGGCACAAAGAAAAGAAAGTATAAGAGAGCATTTGTGTTCTAAGTAATATGTGATGAGTAAATATTTCAAATTCAAAATTCAACAAATACTTACTGAGTAACTACTAAATATATGCTAAACATTGTAGGAATTTAAAAAGCTAGTCAAACATGACTCATGGTTCTTAAATAGCAAACAATCTCAAGGAAGAGTGTGGGGATAAACTAAAATAAGAACCTAACAACAAAAGATGTGACTATGGCAAGGGCCACATAGGGAGGAAAGCACTCTCAGAGCACATCCAACGAGGCTGTCTTCCAGACTCTGCACTCCAGAGGGTGAGGGGAACAAAAGGAGCATCAATGTTTTCTCTCTGATATGAAGACTAAAATGGACCAGGTAGGACCGCCACGAAGGACTCTTGGCCAGCAAAATACTCACTTTTACAACAGATGTGAAAAATTCACTAACAAATTATATAATTTAAAAAAAAATTTGCCTAAAACACTATCTGCTATACTGCATAATATAATAAAACTTATCTAAATTAATGAAGTTATATTTTTGCATAAGTATATAGTTATAGTTTTAGACAATATATGGTTCCAATCATTATCTCAGATCAATAAATGCTAAACTTACATCCTCTCTTAAAAACCTAAATGTAAGAAGTGAAACCAAACATTAAAGTTTGAGTTAGTTTAAATGGTTCACCCGTCACTAAAGAAAGCATATTCAAACTATTAGGTAATAATCTGCATATTAATTTAATTCTATACTATTCATACATCATAAAATAGACTCTATTACAAAATAGTAAACACTAAATTTTAGTATTTTCTTTAAAAATCACAGAACAGGAACAGCGTAAATACTGCCAAATGTAATCAAATGACGGCTTCATGAGTCCTGGGCTTTCTGGGGTCCTGACAAAGTCCCATTTCTTGAACTGGGAGCTGGCAATATGGTTCACTGTGTGAAACACACCAGTAACATATGAAATATTTGAAAGTATGCAGGACATCATTTGATATGGTCAAAGAACCATAGAATTTTTAAAGCTATAGAAGCATTTAAAGATCACCTAATCTAATAATCTAATCACTTACTAGTACAGGTGAGAGAATTAAGGTCCATTAACTTGTCCAAAGTCAAGCTGGGGGATACAACTCCACTACATCTCCGACGCTCACTTGCAGTTAGCTGTGGCCATACAACCAAGTCTAGAGTGTAAGTGCTGGATGCTCCTCCTAGGCCCCGTCCATAAAAACTTCTTTGAGCAAATCTCCATGTGCTCCTCCTTCTGTTTTGCCGAAACTGGTTCGGCTCAGTGGATAGAGTGTCAGCCTGCAATTTGAAAGGTTCCGGGTTCGATTCTGGCCCAAGGCATGTACCTGAATTGTGGGCACATCCCCAGTAGGAGGTGTGCAAAAGGCAGCTGATCGATGATTTTCTCTCATCAGTGTTTCTAACTCTCTATCCCTCTCCTTTCCTCTCTGTACAAAAATCAATAAAATATATTCCAAAAAGAAAGAAAGAGAAAGAAAGAAAGAAAGAAAGAAAGAAAGAAAGAAAGAAACAAACAAACAAACAAACAAACAAACGTTGGAAGTCTACGTTAAAGACCGTGAAACTCGGCATGAAAGAAGTTTGGGTCCTTGAATCACCACTTGAGGGCAGTTGCCTGTCAATCACTAACTCCTATTTGAGCTTAATTTGGATTGAGTTAAACTAGTGGTCGGCAAAATCATTAGTCAACGGAGCCAAATATCAACAGTACAATAATTAAAATTTCTTTTGAGAGCCAAATTTTTTGACTTAAACTTCTCCTAATGCCACTTCTTCAAAATCGACTCGCCCAGGCCATGGTATTTTGTGGAAGAGCCGCACTCAAGGAGCCAAAGAGTGCATGTGGCTCACGAGCTGCAGTTTGCTGACCACAGTGTTAAATCAATGAGATTTGGGGGTTTTATGTATTACAATAGTTATTCTAAATAATATATCTACAAATATTTCCTTTCAAATAATGAATTTAAAGAATCTATATAAATCTTCAGAATGAAACAGCTTCACTATTTACTAGCTGAATGACCACTGGCATGTACTTAAACTCTGAGCCTCAGTTTCCTCTATAAAACTGAGATAATCAGAGTTATGAAGTTTCAATGAGATCATCTTCACAGATTAGCACAGTTCCTGGTGCATAGGAAATGTGCAATAAAAATTAACTATTATTATTGCCATATTTATGCATATTGTAAACAGCATTTTAAACTTAAAAATGAGCACTTTCTCCCCATCTTTCATTCTCAGACCTTTTATGGGACTAAGGTGATGGCATGAGTCCTCCTTGATGATCTGCTCTTCCTCCATGATATTTGACATTGGGACATTGAGGCTAACAGTGTCTTCATCAGAAGGCTAGAAAGAAACAATGCACTGCTTCATTCAAGGAGAAGTGTTACATGTAGTTAAGAGAATGCTATATGATTAAAAAAACAACAGAGTATTTTTAACATTGAGTAAAAGACACCACATACAAAGGACAATTCCATTTACATACGTTTAAAAACACCCATGGTATTGAAATCAGGATAGTGGCTGCTCTTGGGTGAATGGGTGGGCACATGGGTGGGGCTTTCTGGGGTCCTGGGAAAGTCCCCTTTCTTGAACTGGGAGCTGGTAATATGGTTCACTGTGTAGAGATCATAGACTAACATGTACATGTTTTGAGCTGAAATTTGACCGGGTGCCTGGAGGTATTTGCTAACCTAAGAGCCATAGTCAGGGTGCTAAGGAGAACTTGTGTAACACCTGAAAACAAAGGAAAACTTGCAAATATATCACCACAGAAGTCCTATGTCGAATCAACCATTTGAACAGTGACATTACTGTGAACTCTACAACACTAATTTACCAAAACACCATTAAGGTTTCATGTGGTTCATCACAGAAAGTAGGCAGTCAACCTCTGTGACAAAATCTCATTTATTTACAGTGCACTATATGTGCTTTATAAATTAAGCTTCAGTTTATTTCCCTGTTTTAGATGAGGCTGCTACATTAAATGTATAAAAGTGCTAAATGACTTTGTGCAATTTTTGGAAGAACACTGCAATTTGGTAATTGGAGTAAGTTTTCTCTGGGGGTATTGTTTCCCATACCAGTTGATGAAGTTTATTCAGAAAATGTCTGATTCTATTACAAATAAAATATAGCGCCTCATTTATCTTCCTATGTCTCCACTTCAGTGTTGTTACTTAGTGAAGTTTTCTAAATCACAAGGACCAGGAGTCTCACTTTGGCTGATTTTGGCTTATTCCTAAATTCCTGAGGTTATGACTTTCAGAGAACAGTGTTCATTTACTCTTGGACATTACACAAATTGTTTAGAAACCAACAGAAAACAAATGTGCATTTCCTTCAATAAACAGAATTTTTTTTATCTTGAGAAAAATGTGTTTTTAACTTCTTACTGACAAACAGCAATAAAGGAAACCAGGTGTGATCCTTGAACCCCACAATGAGATATAAATGGGGAGTAAGATCCCCTGACCATAGATGGTAACATACTGCCAAACAAAGAAAAAACAGAAGACTACAATGATTAATTCAGAACCTTTATCATTCTAAAAAAAAATTTTTTTTGAGGTATCCTCAGGTAATGAGGCTTCCATGTGAGAATTGTGCTTCCTATTCTATTGAATGTAATCTTCTCTATAATCCTTCTTCCTTTCCATCTAAAAACTCAGCAAAATTTCAAAGATATGCATGTAGTTAAAAAGGAGAGAATAAACTCTTGGCTTCCTCTTTTAGAATGACATTAGCATCCTATTTATACTAAGTGGGAACAGAAGGATAGTGAAGTTCTTTGTGCAATGTTTCATTAATGAACTTAATTATCCTTAGAAGGTAGGTAAGGATAAAGCAAAGTCTATTTTAATTTATTAGAAATAAGCTTAGGGTGAGTAATTTCTAAAACAATAGGGCATTTCAGGAGGCTTAGGAGTTTTAATAAAGCTAAGGGGGTTGAGTTAAATATAATTTATAAAGCAATGTGTTGAATATTTTCTCCCCAGGGGAACCATAGTGAACTATTCATGTGGCTCCATGAAAGTAATTTTTATTTTATTAACAAGCCCTTTTTATCTACCTCCTAACTTTTCTTCCTTTTGAAATATTCTAAGCATCTTAGTATTTTTTTAGTACACTGCTTTATAAAGCATTTTAAAAAATAAATTCAAATATCTTAGCTATACATGACACTCAAAGGTCTTGCAAGAATAGGAAATAGGCATTTTTCCTAGAGTCACACCACATACAATAAAAACATAGATTCCTTAGATGGGATAATTGGGCTACTAATTATATCTTCAAAGAAGATTATAATGTCTCAAACTCTACAACCACAGAAACTCAGTAAGTTCCCTCACCAAGGGAAGATCTGATGCTACATCATGCCTACTCCACCTAGCCCTTCTCCCTCTCCAGGTCAAGAAGCTCCATTTAAAGGTATGCTAGTGAAAGATTTGGGGAAATCCAATGGACTATGAATGATATAATAATTATGCTAAATGAGCTATTTTACCACCACTAGTATTAGAGGCCCCCTTAGCTTACAAATAATTAAACTTTTTACCAATAATCTAAAAAGAGTTCCAGGAAACAAATAATGCTATAAAATGTATGGCTATTTATAAAAGTATTTTTGGGGGGCAAACTACTAAAATTTGATTCCTCATTTATACATGAATATAACAATGTTTTTCCAAATTGCTCCATCATTTAAAAATAAGCATTTATCAAAAATGCCTCATGAATACTTGTACATCACTTAGTCATTTCATAATATTTATTAAGCATTCAAAAATATTCCAGAAAATGTGTGCGGGGAAGAGAGGAAAGAGATAGGAATCCTACTCCTGAGACATTTACAAAATATTAAAGACTTAGAAAAAGCTAACCATAGCTAATATTTATGTAACACTTGGAGTATTTCAAATTGCTTTCAAAACATTATCACATATTCCTATGCAGAGGGTTAATGACTTTTTACCAGAAAGAAGTTCAATAAGTACAGCAGATTTATCTAAAAGCAGAGAAAGAAAAAAATCACGAACAGATCACAAAATTTACCTCTGTGGTTGATAATCGCTTATCTCCATTATCACTTCCAACACCAGAATCAGAATCCTTCTTGCTGTGATAGATGCCATCAATATTGAATTCATATAAAAAATTAAAATCACAAAGTTCACAGATATGTCAATTTATATTCAAATATTGAGTTTGCTATACAAATTGTTATTATTTCCACAAGGCAGCGATCAATTCAGTATTAAAGGATGTTAAGATAAAGGCCAAATGAAAATCAGATACTTTACTGTCTAAAAGGAGCACAAAATAAGTTCTTTGTGTTCAGGGTTTCATGGACTTACACTTTCATCAAATAATCTGTTTTTTGAAACAGTTAACAATTTTCTTATTTTACTGATTCTAGCATATAATAAAGCAAAGCAAAACAAAACAAAACACAAACAAACAAAAACCCTAATTATTTTTACATCTTATGTTTTGAAATGTTGGTAATCTTTTTTTTTAAATTATATTTTAATCTTTACTGTTCAGATTATTACAGATGCTCCTCTTCTCCACCCTACCCCACCATAGCTCCCCTCCACCCAGTTCCCACTCCACTCCAGGCCTTCCCTCTGCCCCCCACTGACCTTGTCCATAGGTATAAGGTCTTTGTCCAATCTCTTCCCACACCCCCTACAATCCCTTCTCCCCAGAAATTATCAGCCTGCTCCCTTTCCATGCCCCTGATTCTATTACATTCACCAGTTTGTTCTGTTCATCAGGTTTTTTATTCATTTGATTTTTAAGTTCACTTGTTGATAGATATGTATTTGTTGTCACTTTGTTGTTCATAATTTTTTATCTTTACCTTTTTCTTTTTCTTCCTCTTTTTAGAGAGTAACCTTCAGCATTTCATATAATACTGGTTTGGTGGTGATGACCTCCTTTAGATTTTTCTTGTCTGTGAAGCTCTTTATCTGACCTGCAATTCAGAAGCTTTGCTGGGTAGGGCAATCTTGGTTGTAGGTTCTTGTTATTCATCACCTTGAATATTTCTTGCCACTCCCTTCTGGCCTGCATAGTTTCTGTTGATTAATCAGCTGGGAGTCATATGGGTGTACTCCCTTGGAGGCAACTAACTGTTTTTCTCTTGCTGCTTTTAAGATTCTTTGTCTTTTGCCCTTGGCATTTTAATTATGATGTGTCTTGGTGTGGTCCTCTTTGGATCCCTTTGGTTTGGGGTTCTGTGCACTTCCTGGACTTGTAAGTCCATTTTTTTCACTAGGTAGGGAAAGTTTTCTGTCATTTTTTCTTCAAATAGGTTTTCAATATCTTGTTTTCTCTCTTCTTCTGACACTCCCATAATTCCAATGTTGGCACACTTGAAGTTGTCCCAGAAACTCCTTATACTGTCTTCATATTTTTGGATTCTTTTTTCTTTTTGCTTTTCTGGTTGCATGTTTTTTGCTTCTTCATATTTCAAATCTTTGACTTGATTCTTAGGATCTTCTAGTCTGCTGTGGAATTTCTGTATATTATTCTTTATTTCAGTCAGTGTATGCTTAATTTCTGATTGGTCCTTTTCCATGTCCTTGAAGGTCTCAATAAATTTCTTGGAGGTTTCTAGAAGATTTTTTTTTTCATTTTTTAAATAAGGATATTATATGTGTACATATCTTACCATTCCCCCCCCTCCCCTGACTCCCATATATGCTCTCACCCACAGAGTTTTGTGTTAGAAGATTCTTAAGTAAACTTATAACTGTGGTTTTGAACTCTATATCCAGTATTTTGCTTTCATCCATTTCTTTCATTTGTGGCTTGTTTCTTTGTCTCTGCATTTTGGCTGTTTCCCTGTGTTTGCTTCTATGTACTGGGGAGCTGCTAAGTCTCCTTGAGTTGATAGAGTGGCCTGGTGTGATAGGTGTCCTATAGGGCCCAGTGGCTCAGCCCCCCCAGTCACATGAGGTGGACACTTCTTGGTGCACCCCTTTGTGAGCTGTGTGCACAGTCTTGTAGTTAACCCTTGACTGCTCTTGGTATCACTGGGAGGAATTGGCTGTGATTACCAGCTGTGTCTACACTGGAAGATCTGTTTGTTGTCCAGGAGACTCCCTTATGGGGCAGTACTTGCTTCAGTGGGGCTTTGGTGCTCACTGAGTCTGTCCCTTGACTGTGTCTCTTATGGGTCTGAAGAGTTGTAATCTGATATAGTCTCACATTGACCATGAGGTACACTGGCTTTTGGATCTCCAAGGAGGTGCAAGGTCAGCCTGCTATAGACAGTGGCTGATTCTTCCTCTTTGTATGGGGTTTGGAAGTGCCCAGACAAAACCCAGCTGTGAAGCAAGACAGGCTGCTGTTGCTGGGCTTTGGGCCTTCTTTTGGAAGCTCTGGGCTCTCTCACCCAGCTGCAGTTTGACAGGGTTTAGGTGGAGAGAGGACAAGGCCATTCATATGCAAAAGCTGATGTGCACAGCTTGGGTGGGGTTGTAAATTGGGTGGGGCAGGGTCTCTGGGAGTCACCAGGGTGGAGCAAACAGCAATGGCTGCCAGTCATCCCTGCACCAGAGAGGTCCCGGGTCTCCTCGGCCCACACCCCCATGCAGGGACAATGATCGCTGTGAGCACCTATGCAAAAAAGCTACCCTCATGTTCCTGTCCCGATGCCAGACAGTCCAGTTTCTCCCCGTATGTCCCCCTGAGTCTCGCCCAGAACTGGAGTTCAGAGCAAGCGGGAGCTTTTATCTCCCTCCCGATTAAAAGAGCAGCACATCCAGGTGCCAGCACTTTCCGCACCTCCGTGCCTCTTCCCAGTCTCACTGCTCCTTCTTCACCTCTGCAGCTGTGGAACTTCCACTCAGTCAGCTTTCCTGCAGTTCTGGGTGGTAGCTGTTCTGCCTTTTAGCTGTAATTTTGATGTGGCTGTGAGAGGCAGCAAATATAGGTGTTTACCTGTGCCGCCATCTTGGTTCTCTTCTAGAAATGTTGGTAATCTTGAATAATTCTGTAAACTTTAACCTGGTGACTAAATTTGATGACATGTTTAAAAAATAATGAATATATATATTTTAAGCAGTATATAAAGGCACCACTAGGGTAGTCAGAAATTTTAAGTCACTAGTTCTTCTTTTTAATAAAAAGTTAAGGAAAGATTTTTGCAGTGAAGACTTCTCAAAAAACAATCAGTATTTTATAAATGTTCAGTCTGGGAATTTCATTCTCTGAAAATTCAAGGCCTAATTTATGCCAACAAAAGGCCATGGACATGTGAAAGTATTCTAACACTTAAATTCTAAATAGGAAATGGCACACTATATATTCTGCATTTTAAAAAGACAATAAAAAAAACCCCTGCAGCCGGGACCGGTTTGGCTCAGTGGATAGAGCGTCGGCTTGGGGACTGAAGGGACCCGGGTTCGATTCCAGTCAAGGGCATATACCTTGGTTGCGGACACATCCCCAATAGGGGGTGTGCAAGAGGCAGCTGATTGATGACTCTCTCTCATCGATGTTTCTGGCTTTCTATCTCTCTCCCTTCCTCTCTGTACAAAATCAATAAAATATATATTTAAAAAAACAAAAACAAACAAACAAAAAAACCCTGCAGTTTTTCTTAACAATGTTCCAGAGGCATATTAAAAAATAATAATTTTAAAAAGGCTAGATATTGTTGTTTTAATTGATAAACTAAAGATATCTATGTTTATTTATTTTAACACGTTTTGATTGATTTTTAAAGAGAGAGGAAAAGGGCGAGAAATAAGATCCATATGAGAGAGAAGCATTGATCAGTTGCTTCCTGTATCATGATCCAACCCACAACTTGGGCAAGTGTCTTGATGGGGAATCGAACTGATGATTTTTTTAGTTCACAGGACATTACTCAACCAACTGAACCACACCAGCTAGGGCCCTATGTTTATACTATAGATCATATATCATGTATCATATATACACATGCACACACACACACACACACACACACACGAGAGTGCACATACACACAGCTCTCAAGGAGGACTGATTTTTGACTAGGAGAGAGTAAACAAGACTCGGGAAATATAAAAATGTTATCAATAACATCCATTTTCTCTTTCCTATTTCAAAAGTTTCTGAAACTTTAAGTTACAAATCTGCCTTGGTTGAGTGAAGCAAAAATAATTTTGTTTACTTTAGTTACCTGGAATACCTTGGCCTAAAAAAAATTCTAAAAGGGGCTTTGAGCCAGGGCAGCTACACTCACCTGTCTTCCATATGCTGCTGTAATTGTGGCCTCTCCATCGTGTGCAAATAAAGGGAGTCAGTTGTTTTAATCTGACAGGCTTGTATGCTCAGATACTTGAATATGTGCACTTTGCCCTTTGTGCAAATCTATGGAGAAATTAATAATACATAACTATTTTTAATGGCAAAACACTAGATATCTGACTCTGTATATTATAATTTTTGCATTTTCATTCTGAGTAACACTTCAACAATGCACACCAAATTTGACCTCTACAAAACATAAAAATTTAGGCAGTCATTTCCTCCAAATTCCACTTCGAAGAGAAAGTCATACTCAAGCAATGTACTAATTTTTTAACTAAAATGCCAAATCCTAACAGAAATGTGTTTGAGTATAAATATATGAAAAATATAGACGTCAGCTAATTGACCAGAAAAAAATTTCAATTCTGAAAGCATATATATTTCATTTTTTCTCATGATTAATATTTGAACTTGAATCTTGTCTCTAAATAACAAATAATTATATTTCAAAATACTTAAGATCCATTTTCCAGCTAACATTAAAGTAGGGACTATATTAATTTTTTACTCATGAAAAAGTTTCAAATATATATACAAATAATAAAATAATCAAACATAATTCTGGATTAGTGAGCCCAATGCTGGCAAATGGGCTTGATGTAGAAAAGACAAGTTATTGTAGTCAGTTGCATTCAAGGTTTCATCTTTTTAGAGACTATAACTGCTTATGATCATGTCTAATGCAACATTAAATCAGCAGAATATTAACAAACTGGCTCTGCCAAGAGTTGCCTGAGCACATTGATAGCATATCCCACATATCTTTGCCAGCCCCCTCACCTGTGCTGGAGGAGACTGCAAAGGGTTATTTTCAAGTAGTAATACTTGCAGCTGCTTCATCTCTCTAAAACAAATGGGAATCACGAGCACTTTATTGCAGGAAAAGTCAAACTTTACCAAGGGAAGATCTACTAGTTCTAAAGGAACAGGAAAAAAAAAAAAAAAAAAAAAAAAAAAGGAAGAAAAAGAAAAAAACACACAAAACTCAGAAAAGTAACAACATTAAATGGCCAAACATTCAGAAATTTATTTTCTGCTTATCAGTAAAAATGTCATTTAGCATAATCAAAAGCAAGCTGTTCATTAGGAACATATAATATATGCATAGATGTAATATTTTACCAAAGGGGAGAGGACACCTTTCATTGGAAGTCCAATACATTTGAATTATTAGTTCTGAGAAGAGCTGAAAATGTGATATTTACAATATTTATTGTTTAAAAATGCTTTTTATCCTCCCAGAAAAACAATCACATAAGCTACACCACACAGAATATGTTTTAAATTCAAAATGTTTTCAAGCAGTACTATGGTAGGCAGTTAGACATGGGCAGAGCAAGAATGATGGGCCAGGTACAGAGGTCACCAGGGTGCAAAGCCCAGGGTGCCTAGCAATGGACAAGTGTAGGGTGGGACCTTGTCCCCAGGATTACCTTTTCTCCCTTCGCATAGGACTTGTCTAGTGGTTTAGAACCCCTGACCTTTCCTACTTAGAGATAACTTCTAGGTTTCAGTTGTATTTCAGCTCCAGGCCCAGATAAGTAACAAAACTAGACAAGCATGGTGGATCTGAGGACCAGCTGAATTGGATAATCATCCCCAGTCCCGGTGCTGACCAATCAATCAGTGGAAATCCTAACCCTGAAAGGACACACCTGGTAGCTGCTGAATATTCTATTGAGATCATCCCCTGCAACCTCCCCTACAAATCTTCACCCTTACAACCCTTAGGATGGAGAACTTAAGGATTGCTCTCCCTCCTGGGAACATGCCTGCACCTTTCCCCTTCCTCTCCCTTTACCCTTCCCTACTGGCTTGTTACATTTCTCACTTCCAAACTCCAAGGCCCTTCCTTTACCTCCATAACCAGTTTCCTTATCACATTTCTTCTACAAATTACTTCTTCTACTTCTGTGATTTTCTAAATAAATATTCTCTTGTAGTTTGAGTCTTGACTTTGAATTCTTTCTTAGCGAGAACTCAAGTACCAAGGTTGCTGAACCCAGGTCCGGACTGAACCCACCTGCTGCCATTCTGGACACTGCCAACAATACTTGATAACATATGAGTAATATGCTAATTATAAAATATTCTTATCCATTTAATGTATCAAGGCTGGCATGACCTCAGAACTACTTACAAGAAATATATTCATTTTTTTAACTACACTTTAAAAAATAAATGCTATCTAATTCAGAATCTGCAGTGAACCCTGTAATCCTGATGATAGGGCTTTCTTCTGCCTTAAGATATATAATATATATCTATATCTATCTATATATTATATATCTTATATATCTTAAGGCAGAAGAAATATATATATATTAAGGCAGAAGAAATCTATATAGATTTTCTATTGATTTCAGAAAGGAAGGAAAAAGAGAGACAGAAACATCAATGATGAAAGAGAATTACTGATCGGCTGCCTTCTGCACATCCCCAACTGGGGACTGAGCCTGCAAACAGGGCATGTGCCATAACTGGGAATTGAACCTCAACCTCCTGGTTAATAGGTCAATGCTCAACCACTTAGCCACCATGGCCAGGCTTTATTCTGCTTTTAAAAAGTCTTCTGTGACTCCACAAACAAGACAGAACATTATATTTAGCTTCAAATCCCCACCCAGTAGCATAGTAATTTCAAGCATTCCAACCGGCTTTGGCAGCTGCAAGAAACAAGTCAAATATATTCCATACAGCAACGAGGCTGAGCCAGGCCAAACAAGTAGGTGGCATGGGACAACCCACTAGGATCTCTGCGTCAGAGGCTCCAGAGGGTTCATTTCAAAACAGTCTTGCCACATTTGTTATGGGACTTAGTAAGGGTTGAAACAGGGTACTTTCAAATACTTAAGGATTCCAAAGAGGAGGAAGGGCAGAAACTATAAACAGAGGAGGAACCAAAGGCAGTGTCCTGGAGTAAGAATTAACACTATTCCTCCTCCCCATCTAGAGTGCCCTAGGATTTTCACTTCTCTAAGAGATACTAACTTTCAAGTTCAAGAGATACAGCCACTAGCAACCAATATGTCTTCTCCAGAATTCTACTCCCTCTGGGTTGTAAAGACTTTCCTTCTTTTATGCCTTAGTGACTACCTTGTATTAAAGAAAGAAGTCATGTGACTGCAATGCTGAATAAGGCAGAAGAACATGGAACTCAGCAGGTCCCAAACTCAGGTCCAGGATGGGCAGCTGAGTTCGAGAAGCCCAGGAAGTGTACTCTTTAAGTTGGCTTGAGTTCACTGCTCTTCGGGCCAATAGCAGGATAAATTATTTGCCTCAGCACACACAGTGCTGGTGATTGCCTTGAGAAAAGGGCTTTGAGCAAAAGGAGGTGGAGCCCACAACATGGGCATGTGCTCTGATTGGGAATCAAACTGGCACCTCCTGATGCAAAGAAGGATGTTCAACCAACAGAGCCACATCGGGCAGGGCAACCGTGGCAAGTTTTAATTGGACTTGAGATCTTCAGGAATTCTTTGCCACTTAAATGGAAGACTTTTTAAAGCAAAACCAAAGGGATGAATTCCTGGAAAATATAGCAGAAAGGAAGGCCACTTACAGGTAAATAAAGCAGGAATAGCAATGACCAGCTTAGTTTTGGAAAACTAGAATCTGACAGTTTCATAGTAAGAAATTGGAGGAGAAATGACAACTCCAGCCAGGAAAGGTCAAAACAAACAGCAGAAAAAGAGAGTAAGGAGGTGGAAAAATTAATCTCACTTTTCTATCTGTTTTAAAGAGGGACAATGAGACTTGCCAGGATGCTCAGTGGTTGAGCATCAACCCATGAACCAAGAGGTCACTGGGTTCCATTTCTGGTCAGGGTGTGCAGGAGGCAGCTGGTTGATGTTTCTCTCTCTCCATTCCCCTCTCTCTAAAATTAATACAAATATTTATTTTTTTTAAAGGAGGGACAAAAGCCCTAGCCAGCTTGGCTCAGTAGATAGAGTATCAGCCTGCATACAAAGGGGTCCTGAGTTTGATTCTGGTCAAGTGCACATACCTCGGTTGCAGGCTCCTCCCTGGCCTGGCCCTGGTCAGGGTGCATGCAGGAGGCAACCAATAGATGTGTTTCTCTCACATCGATGTTTCTGTTGAGAAGGCTAAAAAGGGCTAATTCCAATGTAACCCTGATATTTGGGGCTAGTAATCTGAATCCATGCCAGCAAGCTCAGTGTACATTCCTGATAACCTATAATTAAGTCACTACCTCCTTTCCAGATACATGTCTTGCAGAACCCGTTACTGTGAACAGTACACTGCCCCAGAGAGAGGGCATTAATGCTGGCACCAGGCCAGACTATCAGATATGGCCTGGAGACCCCCAACACCTGGGGCCTTCTTGCAAGGCCCGCAAAAAGGACCAGAGGCATAATCCATATTTGTGGGACAAAGACCACAGGGAGATAGAAAGGAGAGCCCCATGCATGTTTCTTCACTCAGATTTGGAAAGCTATTCCCTGAGTCCATCGGTGTATTAAAGTGTCCCTCCTTTTCTTTAAAAAGCATCGCTTGGTTTTTCTTTGGTCTTCTGCAACACTGTCTTTCCCTCTCTCTTCCACTCTCTTTAAAATCAATAGAAAAATATCTTCGAATGAGGTAAAAAAATAAAAAAAAATCTTCTGTTCTGGCCCTAGGAAGAATAAAATATATTCTCCTCTTTGCAGCCTTCATATAAAGTTGTCATGGATAATTAGGCCACAAACATTACTCCCCCTCCTCAAATTGAAAGCATATGAGGAGGGATTCTCAAGAAGGAAAAACAAGTAAGTAAATATGCAAAGTCTTTAAGTTCCCTGCCTGAAAGCATTATCAATGCTCTTTTGTTAACAGAGTTCTCCAGAGTAAAGCAAAAAGAAACTTGATATTCGGGAAGAAATATTTTTAATGATTTTCCAGTACACTGATGTTTTAGCTTTGAGTGGATTTTAAAATACTAAACCTGAGTAAACATACTCATGGAAAGTATAGAAATTTGTAACTGATCTTTTTAGGGAAAGGAATGCTTTTAACGTAAGACAGTAAGTAGTGGTAAAAGAAATAAAAATCTTAATTTTGTAGATGCACTTTCCACACATTTCTATACTATTACAAGGCAACTGTAAAGAAATTAAATTAACTTTTCCTTTTGAAAAGAATAATTAAATGATTTGTGATGATTTCTCAGTGATTCACATGAGAGCTTAAATTTAAATGAAAGCTTTCTTTTGTGCTATGAAAGGTGATATGCTTATAAATTATAAGTAATAATTTTCTCTTTGTACTTGCTCAAAGGAAGGAAAACAATTTCAAACATTAAAAAATGGGATTACAGTGACAAAATTAATAATTTATGTTTTTATACCAAGTCATCTCAGGTAATAAATCTTTATGCTAAAACAGTTTCTAATTCTACTTCTTTAAAATGCTAGTCCATATGAAAAAGGTAGAGATGGCAGACACTTAAACCTCCACTTATAAAGTGCATTACATTTCATAAAATTCTTTCTTTTATGAGTGCCATATTCTTGCTTCAAATAATGAAGCATTCATTTCAAGTCAAAGATCAAGAAGCAGAAAGAGAATAATAAAAATCAAGCAGCTTTCAAACAGCAGCATTAGTGTCAGATTAACCAAATGCTGACTGTTTCCAAAAATGTATGTTTGTACTTTGAGGCATATTTTTTAGCATATATTTGAAATCAGGAAAGCCTAGTGTCCTTAAATGCAAACGCTGGAAATCAGTGTTCTTTGAAAACCAGAGGATGTTTTGGAGGAAGCATTGTGTTCTACTGCTCAACTCACTCCTGATTCAGATCCAAATAAGTATCCCAAAATCTGAAATTCTGATCTTCTACCACCTACAAGGCTGATCGCCAACATTCTTAATTTTATAATTTGAACTCCAACATATGTATCATGACGCTCCCTGGAAGCCCTCAGCAGCAGGGCTGTCTGAGGAGCTCAGCACTGAGGCTCTGGAGCCATCATTGCTTCCAGGCTTGGAGAAGTTCACCCAAACTATTAGTGACATTAGTCCAAATACCACTCCAAAGGGCAGTGAACTCTCCTGAAAAAATAGATTTTAGACACAGGGTTTCCAACCAGGACCCCCAGATCCAAAAAAAACAAAACAAAACAAAAAAAAACAGAAACCCTCACAGTCAGATCTACAGGACCAAACATGTCAACTCAACTGTTGGCATGATGTTCCAGAACATCACAAGTCCACAATAAAAACAATTCATGTTGCTTCCTGTATGGACTGACTAGTGTTCCCCAAATTCCTATGTTGGAGTCCTAACCCCCCAGTGCTTCAGAATGCGACTGTTTTTGGAGATAGGGTCTTTAAAGGGTAATTAGGTTAAAATGGGGCCTTTGGAGAGGATGCTAATCCAATATGTCCTTATCTCTCCTTCTGAGAAGATATTAGGACAGAGACATAGAGGGAAGATGATGTGAAGACACAGGGAGAAAATAGCCATCTACAACCCAAGGAGAGAGGCCTCAGAGAAATCAAACTGGTTAATCCCTTAATCACAGCTCCAGCCTTCAGAACTGTGAGAAAATAATTTTTTGTTGTTTAAGCCTCTCAGTTTATGGTACTTATGGGAGCCTTATCAAATTAATACACACACACACACACACACACACACACCTTTATACAAGGGAATGTTCTATTGCTGTGCCCCTTGACTAAAATTACAACGTGAATATAACTTTTCTGTCAAATGCATGTGATGTTCAAATTATAATATTAATAGGCATACACAAAGCAAACAAAAAATAATCAGTCTCCAGTTTATTCAAACCTTTCTTTTTTACCTTGTGGTAAGACTTTAAGGTAATTCCTTCTGACATTTAGTTCTCGTAGAGATTTCAATTGACCTATCTGCTGGGGCAAGGCTGTGATCTCATTGCAGCTGACATCCTGTATAGAAAGCAAGGAGAGAAATAATAAATGGCTTTTTCCAGAAAATCAAGCACTTCATGGGAAATCTCCTTAAGAAATTTAAATGTGAGGACAAGTACACAGGAGACTTTCATATTGTTCTCTAGGTTCCTAACCAAGTAAAGCTGAGCACAGAGGAGAAGCAGAAAGTTCAACAATTTAAACAATCTCTAAGGAGAGGAAAGGGAAAAAAGAAGGATGTTGGTAGCCTCCAGCAGCTACTCTTGGCCTGCCGCTTTCACATGCTTCGATCTTATTTCATTCTCACTTGAAACTCATGAAGCAGTATTACTAGCCTAATGCTTACAAATCAGAAAAATGAAGCTCAGAAAAGTGGTCATTTGTTTAAGTCTTGCGAGTGTCAGAGATAACACTTGGAACAAATGACTATCCCCACTATTCAGCCACTCTCCCATAAAATCTCTAAATAATACCTTACCAAATGCTCACATATTACAGAGAAAAACTATAAATAGCAATGCATTCTTTGGATACACTATTGATTTTAAATGAAGTTATCAATAGAGGGCTGGAAACCTTGGATCTGAACACCTTTACCTACATTTTACAAACAAGTCTGTGGGGTGTGTAGATTTGTCTTCTTTGCTTTGGAAAATTAATATTCTATTAATTATTTATTTGAAACACCTCTTAATACATGCAAAATGGAAGCATGACATTTAAAATCTTATATATATCATCATTATCTTCTTTAATCCTACTCTTTCTCTTGTCTCTGGAAGCTCTCTCTGCTCTCCACTCCCTCATCCCAGCATGCAATACCTGACTAGTCAGGGGCAATGACCTCTTTTCCCTTAGACTTTCAAATAACAGTTAAAAAAAAAAAAAAAAAAAAGACAACAGCCAACACAACAAGAGCCGTTCAGTATGAATTAATCAAAATCATATCCTTTTTTTTTTTCAGATAAGCAAAAAATATATTTCTTGCTTGGTATAGTTTATGTGGGCACCATGAGATGAAAAAGGTTGAAAATTAGTGCTCTAGACCAGCACTTTTTCTTAGCTAGACACTATAATGGTCTCCATATTGGTTCCCATGCTTAATTCTCCTCCCTAGATCCATCCTTCCCAGAGTGAAAATTTAAACAGTATAAATTTTATTGTCATCCACCAACTTAAATATATGCAACAGCTCTTCAGGACAAAGTTCCTAACTCTGCAGCAGGGCCTAGGATTCAGGTCTGTATTTCTCCAACACCTTCTCTCTGAATGCCCTCCCTTGTGCACTATACTGGATTGGTGCTGTGTATAGTTCCCAGTGTGTGCCAAGCTATTGTTGTACCGTCCCAAAACTTGTTCAGGCTTTTCCCTTGTCTGGAATGTCAATCCCAAGTATTGTCTTCTTGTCCCATCTATTCATCTTTCAAGACTTAATTCAACCCTCACCTCCAGGCTGAAACCTTTTTGAGGCTTCCACCTCCTCTCCTGCTCCAATATAACAAACACCCAGGGAGAACAGATCACTTTTCCTTTGTAGTTATTCAGATAGTCTGTTACTGTATTTATCTGTTCAAGTGTTTCTCTTTTCCTGAAAGTCTGTGAGCTCCTAGATGGCAGAGACCATGTCTTATTCACTCCATCTCTTGGTGCCAAGCAAAATGCCAGGTATAAGGTAAGGAATCAATAATTTTGGATAAAATTCTAAGCTTATTGCTGTTGATACTCTAAAATGCTGCAGTTTACTCTGTCTCACTTATGGGAGAAGGGAGGGAGAGATGGAGGGAGGGAAAGAAAGGGGAGCAAAAAAGATATAGGCAGCATTTTCATAGCATAAAATCTCACAGATTGTAATCCTATTTTGTGTGTGTACTATAATCATTTTGCACTTCATTCATTATCCTCTGGTTAGCCAGAATTTAGGATATCCCATTTCTCTACATATAAGGTAAAATTTCCAACATATATTTTTAACATAATGACTTTATCAAAGAAAATCAACTTCCCTCAGCTATTAAATACTTATTTATCAGTAGGGAAAATGATAACCAATATACTTTTTCTTTTTTAGAGAATTTAACATGATAAAAGCGAGTTTTACCTTCTGAATTATAGAATTAGACATCTGAAGACAATTAGAAACACAAAATCCAATTGTCCACTCACATTTTAAATGGTATTTGGTGAAGGACAGATTATTTTAATAATAGCTTTCACTGATGTCAGTTACTTCTTGTTCTGTCAAAAGAATACAGAAAAAATGCCCCGGCAGATCTAGCATATAAGTGAGATGAAGACTTTTCACTATAGTATAGTAAATATTATTGAAAACTCTATTTTCTCCCAGTTATTGAACTTGCCAAATTTAAGAAGTTATAAATTCCATTAAAAAAAAATTGAAACCCTTAGGTAATTATGATTTGATTAGCTGGGGAAGGAGGAAGAGAGAGGAAAAGATAACAGTGTAGATGCTTGGGGATAAGATATTTCCGTAGAAAATGTAAAAGCAATATTCCTAGAGTGGCCTAGTTCTCTAGAACATTTCTGTCCATAATTAGCCCAAGATAAGATAAGGTTGTGGTTTTGTTTGTTTGTTTGTTTTCTAGTTCATTAAAGAAAAGAAGATTTAGGAAGATAAGTTAAAAAAGGAAAAACACTAATGCCTCACACTTCTGAAATTAATTAGAACTTACCATGCTATGAATTCCAGATTCAGTGGCTTCTTAGAATAGTCTAATGAATTTTTTATGAATTATCTACTAGCCCTAAGCTATGTCTTAGAGAAAGAAAATTATTTCAAGTGTCAGTGAAATCAAATTACCTAAAAATTAATGTAACAATATTACAAATATATAGATAGACCAAAAATGAACCATAAACGTAGAATACATATTTACTAATTCTATTTTTTTTTTTTTACAGAGGAATAAATCTAGTTATTAAATACTTGAACTTAGGTTTTTATGGACCAGCCAATTCAGTTTTGTCATTTGAATTAAAAAATAATATTGAGAAGTTTACCTATGACTTAATCTTATATTCCACTGGTTTAATCAACATACTTTTAAGTAATCACATTTCATCAAAGCCTTTCTGGCAATAAAGGAAGTATGTAGAAGTTAAATACACGTTGAAGATTAACACACTTTTGCTGATAGGTGCTAGTTACTAGCTTCCCTTTATAATGCAAAAATGACAAGGATTTAAAGTGTCAGAGTAAATTCCGATATTAATAGGTAATACTCACTTTCAGATAATAATATTGGAAAAAAATATAAGTGTTTGGAAGGTGTGACCTCTAATGAAAACCAACATAAACACTGTGTCAAGATAATCTCTGAGAAGAGTTCCAGTGAGACCAGGCCACATTCTGGAATTGCATGTGGCATTTCCATGAGCTACCATGCTCTGACTCTCAGGTTTTAAAACTTAGTGTGGTTATATTATTGCTTACATCATATTTTTGTAATAAGTCTAGCTCTTTTTTTTTTTTTAATTGAAGGAAACACAAATATCTGACAGGAATTGTAAGCTATTTTCATTGGCCTCCCATCATGTGACCATGCCTTTTTCACTGTGTAACTTCAGTAAATGTCTTAACCTCTCTGTACCTATGTAAAAGAAGAGGTGCGATTAAATAATTCTAATTTCCTTCCAACATTAGGAAAACCCATTTGCCACATCAAAAATAATGAGCTGACAGCCCTGGCCTGTGTGGCTCAGTTGGTTGGGCATCATCCAATGCACGAAGAGGTTATCAGTTTGATTCCTGGTCAGGGCACACATCCTGGGTTGTGGGCTCGATCCCTGGTTGATGCTTTACTTTTGCATTGATGTTTCTCTCCCTCTCTCTTCCTCTCTCTTAAAAAAAAAAAAAACCCTCAATAAGATATAGGCGTTTTGTTTTTGTTAAGAAAAAGAAATAATGAGCAGACTTTGAAAAACAGATATCTGACTCAGGAGTAATGTCAATTTTGATTTGTTAGTAATCAAAAAACCTCAATGCCTGCAGTCAGAACTTTTTTTTTTTTAAAATCATTATGTTCATTTAAACTCCACACTGTTTCAAGCAACTGCTACTATGATAGATGTATTATTTCCCAAGACTTACTAAATGTTTCTTTCCAGCACAAGACTCTACTTCATACTGTTCCACACACCCACAAACACAGGCCCACCCCACTGTTCTTCATAAGAAAGGCAGAAATTGCTAAAGCCAGTTTGGCTCAGTGGTAGAGCGTCGGTCTGCGGACTGAAAGGTCCCAGGTTAGATTCCGGTTAAGGGCATGTACATTGGTTGCGGGTACATCCCTGGTAGGGGGTGTGCAGGAGGCAGCTGGTCAGTTTCTCTCTCATCGATGTTTCTGGCTCTCTCTCTCCCTTCCTCTCTGTAAATCAATAAATTAAAAAAAAAAAAAAAAAAAAAAGGCAGAAATTGAAGCAACAGAAGGAGTCCTGGATAAGCCATGGGTTTCCCAATACCCACAGAAACCAAAGATGTGAGCAGACACCTCCAGGCCACAAATGGATGAAAAATCATGGGAGACACATGAATTTACATCTCTACTACCTAACTCAGAGGTTGAAATGCTACCTATAAAAATAATTAAGAAGGGACATTCCTCAAAAGCTGCTCAATAAATCCTTGGATTCAAACTCTCCACACAACCAACATTTTATGAAAAGGGAATAAAAAATAGTATCCCTGGTCAGGGCCAGGAAATACACCTTCCAATCAGTTATTACTTGAGCCAGGCCCTGTGAGTTTTGGGTTGTAAAAGCAGGTTTCTGAATCTGTATATTGAGTTCTCATGCATGAAAGCAAGAGCTGGGAGACACAATTTTCACACACCACATGATTTGGAAGAGGAGAGAGCTGAGAAAACTCAAATTAAAAATAGACCATCTCTTGACCCCAGCATGTCAGCAATCACAGAGAACCAATGAGAGAACTCCTAAACCTTTGGCAAATGCCCTTTAGTATTCTCCAATTTATTGTGTTCTATCTTAGGTGTGCCTGT